TTCTATGAGGAGCATAACCTTCGAAACTTGATGAATGAAGGCTGTGAGTCGATTATTTGTCAAATATGCTACAGTGTTTCTCCGAAATAAAATAATCTGAACTCATTCCACTCTAAAACCTTTCTCCAAGCAACTCATTCATGCAAGAAGACGTTTTAAATCAAGCTTTCCGATCAGGATGAGAAAAAGGTGAACCTTTCCAATGACTACTTCAAAAGTTATCTATTTCAGCATTACTTTGGTTTCTTTCTTGTAAATAATTAGTTTATTCGGCTCACTAACATAATCAACAATGTTCAGCTTACCTTTTCTTCATTGAGTTTTATAAACTAATTATCACATTGCATTACTGTACAAAGTTGATAAGACAAATAAAGTAAACTTCAAAGTAGTCCTCTTACTTCTTGCACATACTCAGACACATGAGTTTGTTACTTCAGACAAAAGAATTCAGGAGTGATACAATATCTTTCGATATCTTTTGAGTACAATGATATCAGGAAAGAAACCAGACACTTCTATCTTTTCAGTTCTTATTCTTCACATAAAAAATCCATTGAAAATGGCTGACAAAAGTCGGCAGATTATTCCTTTCTTACCTCAATGACACCAGGTATCTGATCAAAAGCTTTCGGTGCACATATTATTCAGTGGCGTAAACAACTGATCACTAATTATCTAACAGATTTCAGTACAGACTTGTTTTGTCATTTTCAATAATGTAAATGAGTTATAAAGAATATTATGTTTCTCTCAGATGAATTTGATTCACTATACCACTATTCAAGGTGGTTTATGATGCCATTATTGTCTTAATTTTGAATTGGCTGTCCGCTTCAGGCATTCCCGGTGTTATATTTGACTCCTGCAGACAGATATTTTTGGTCCCTTTTGTTGGGAATATTTTCATTATTTTGTGAGCACTTAATCTTCGCCAATAACTGATTCATTTTGTTGCGTAAGTTAATGTTTTGAATTTACTGTTGACTGTATAGTGAGAAAACGGTATTCTATGAGGTATGATGTTGTTGTGTGTTGTAACATGATAGAATGGTAGCGTAGATTTCACTTGGATTTAAAGTAAATATAGCCAAATCAATTGTGTTCAGTTATCTTTGTGACATATTTCAACTACGCGTAACTCATAGAAGCTAAGTGAACTTTACGGAAAGAACGTAATCACACACGCTTGATTGATTCCAGACTTGTTCTGAACTGTACACTGCGTTCTGACTAGAATAATCATATTTCGGTGTGCTGAAATGCTGGCCACGTAGTCTTGAGAAACGTTTTGACGCCTCTTAATTTCCCATCACTTTCAGTAGTAGATTCAGCATCTTCAAAAGTTACTGGAGTCTGGTTGCAGATTAGGTTTAATTGTTTTTCGATCTGTCAGGTACAGAATTCCATTCGATGTCACATTGCCATCCACAACAGCACGATGAACTTTACCAATGATGTGCAGTTGATCACCTAGTACACTGCGAGCTACCTGAGTAGTCGTGAAAATTTTCGGTCGACCTATTCAGGGCCATGTTTGCCTATTGATAGATGTTATATCCGAGGGTGTGTCAAGCTGTAAATTAACCAGTTGTCCATTGATTTATATGCATACATATTTTCGTGCTATTATAGCATTTAGCTTGAAGTTTTTACACTTATGCCTCTTGGAGTACATTTGGGGCTGATTTCGGCGTCTAACTTTACAATAGTCTTCAGTATGTCTTCGTTGGGAACAATTCATGCATCAGTGGTCCTTAAACAGGAGAAATTTTACAAGGTGCCGACCACCACAATACCAATATGCTGAAGGTGGTTTTGACTAACACTCATCGCTGTTTGCACGGACAGTAGCTGAACACCCTTTTTGACCGACTTTATTCATATTCAATGAATTCCTTGAACTTTCAACCACTGCTAAGTCATGCTTCAAGTTCACCTGTCTCCAATATTCATTTGTAACTTCCTGTTCAGATACTGCTCCATCCTGGATAAAACACGACCACATATGTCAGTGTCTGCCACAGATCCTATGGTGCAGAAGCAAATCAGACACTCGAATTGGTCTTCTGTCATTGATGACGCTTACACTCTTTACTGACAAAGCAAGCATGGTTGACCCAGTCATCGCCTGACTCTTTTATAATATTCAAACACAGGTGTCCAGTCCGAAAGAGAGATGAATGCCCTCCAAATATCTGTGACAGTATTCTGAATGTTTTGTCAAAAGTAAAACCTTCAGAATTTTTCAGTGGCATAAAATCTGTGTAACGAATGCATTCTGCAGTGCCTAATTCTCTTAGAAGAATATGTACTTTTGCTGCATCATCAAGAAATTCGAGGTCAACAAGAAACAAGTCTTCATACCTTATGAACCATGATCTGGGTGGGGTGCTTGCAATTAAGTCAAAATTTAAGAAATAAACGAATCCATATGAGATAATCCAGTCTGCACAGATATTGACGCTGGTAGTATGCCGCATAGCCTTAAGTAAGTACCTCAATGATTCTCATGTTGCTGCATCAACAATTGAACTTGACCAAAGGAATGCTTTCTGTAATTCCCAGCGGCACTTGATATATCCTTGTGGTCAATATATATATATATATATATATATATATATATATATATATATATCTGGGTGGAGTCTTGAACAACAACCTTAGGCTCCACACTTGAGGGTAGTTTGGTTCCTCGAAAGCAGAAAGAAAGAACAAAAAAGATAAAGGCTCATTGTCAAGTCAAACATATGCAAAAAACTTACGGTTTATATATGTTTCTTGATGATCTTGGCACGTTCTACTTTTCTCTAGAAATTCCTCCTGCCGATCTTAAACTCACACATATGATCTCGTGGTTTCTTGCGAAAATATGGCATGCCGTGAATACCTCCCAGGGGTTTTCAGGCTTCTTTGAGGAATCTAGGGGATAATGTCTCACTACATGACAAGAACTAAAGCTAATAACACCAGACTTACAAATGTTATGCCGGTCCTGTTTAGGATCATGGAGAAAGTAGTTGAAGGTTATTCTTCACTCTGCGCTCAACAATAATTTCATCACATCTAGTCTGCGTACATTCTTGGGGTCACGATCATGTATGACTTGTCAACAGGATTTCTTTAACTTTCAAATCACTAATCGTGATCAACGTCAACGATTACAAGGCATTTGACCACGCAAATCACTCGATGTTTATCCGGATGCTTTAATTCCTCAAATTTGATAACTCCTTCTTGCGCTGGATTACATGTTTTTCGCAGACATCCAAAATGTTCATAGGTCGGTCCTCAACTTTCTGAACCTCGGTCAATTACTTGTATAGTTCAGAACAAATAGATCGGTCCTCTTCTTTTCAAACTTCACTTTGATGGCCATTGTAGATGCTTTTAAGGTCAGCGGATTTCGTTTTGGCTGAAATACTGCATATGTTGCTTGTTTAGAGGCATAAATGTTCCTTAGATGTCCAAAAACGTCGTGAAAATGTGAAAATTATTGAAGTAAAGTCCAATAAACGGCTTTCTATACGAAAGTTGGATGAGCTGCGTAATGTTCCGCTTCGTACCGTAAAATGTTCTCATAATGTATACGTCTGAGGAAGTGAATACTAAAATGCTCAGAAGTAATTGATTTGCAGACCATAAATGTGACTAAATCCAAAGGAAGCCTTCGTAGGCGCTTCCTGATTTCCTACAACTCAAGCGAAATGGAGTATCATTAACAACCAAATTGTTTTTATTACGTTCGTTTATCCACATTTCTTACTGTTTCTTCTGGATGTTCTAAGAAGCGCATTTCGTACTCTCAATTGTGAACAGATCAACACCTAAAGGAGGAAGTTTCATGCAAACTGAAATCACAGCATCCCTATGTAGACAAGTAAAGAATACGTTGATAACTCAATACAAGGTTGCTTTTTGGAATGTATATTATTCACTATTAACTCAGTTTTTACTTTTATTTCAGGAAGATGAACGCGCGAATATGGAATGACGATTGTAAACTTTACAATATCTATTTACGGTTAGATACCGAAATAAACAATTCCATCCATGCTTCAGCTTATCTTTTACTACAATCCCACAAACGGTGATTCTCATTTACATGAATCAGTTCGTGACGTGAATACACTGACGTGAACTAACGAAACTCTTGGTCTCAGACATTAACTGTTTATGCGAAATGGATCACATGTGAAGCCAAAGGTCAAATTCTTCTACTAGATCTCCAAAAGATGCCATAATAATAAAGGTGCACGTTGCAGAGGTTTATATTACGAAATAGAAAACGAGAATAGTTTTTCTCTTTGGAGGTTTATTGGGATCGGTTTAGATTGGTTTTAGATTGGTATTCATCATGTAATGACGCTAGTTGAGGAAACATTGTTATTAAGAATATGTGGATGATATATCTTCCTCATGTTTTTAATTCATCGCCTAATACATATCTTAGGTGAAAACCCTGTGGACGTGTTACAGTCTATACACAGGTGTTAAGTTAGAATCTCTACGGTTGCGTCTATTCAGTCGCTTATTAAAGTCTTCCCGCAGCCTGATTTTGAAATTATGAAGCAAGACAAAATAATAATAGTGATAATTTACTACTGAATATACAGGTGCATATCATTTTTACACATACTGTTATAAAATTTAGTGATGAAAATTTTTGGTAATGCTTTTACCATGTCTGTTGCATCCCAGATAGTGGAAATCCCCAGCGTGAAAGATTTTACATTCCATACAAATAGTGCACTTTATGTTAAATGTTGAATTTTTGTTGTTTTTAGCAACATGGCAGAAATGAAATTCATGTTTAATGAACATGTAAAAGCATCATTCAGGATAAAAGGGGGAAGCAATTAAGCAAGTTCATTTGTCGAGCTCTGAAATCTGACTCCAAATTAATGAACGCGTCCAGATACACTATCGCCCGTTTATTATTCCCGATACTGCTGATTACCTGCGTCAGACAGTGTAAATATCAGAAGTCAACGCGAAGTATATATCAGGATATTTTACTGGTCAACGAGCAGGCAAAAAGTTTTTAAACCAGTACAATTGAACAAAATGTTCAGTTGTGAGTTGTTACATATATCAATACAATAATGTGGAACAAAATGCTGCATAAGTTCCTCCCCGTAACAAAGATATAGTAAGGAATATCTGAATTCGATATAAAATGTGGTCCGATTAGGACAAATTCATCTTGAAGATATTTAAAACACAGAAGGGATGTTAAGGATATGTAGTGCACCTTCCTGGCACCAAAATACAACCAGGGCTAAAGTGAATAGATTAAATTAAATTACGACAAAACAATAAGAAGACGTAAATTGTCTGAACCGTGTAATGTATTTGCGCAACACATTTCGAACTATCTGATCACACACGTACTTGTCATAGGTATTTATATAAAAACTCATGAAGATAAGGGGTGAGAAAATAAAAAGGGGTCAGGTAGGAAGGCTGACTTAAAGGCCGAATAACAATGAAAATCAATAGGGCGAAAAAATAATAGTACATCGAACTTGGTTTTTCAATAGTTGAATTTACCAAGGAAGGTTTAATGTGACAACAAATTGTTTATGAATACATAAAGGTGGTTTAAACTTCCTAATAGCTAAGGCTTCAACAAATTTCAGGATCCCTCCCCAACATGTTTTGTAAATAGGTGTAAAGGAAGTAGCCACATCAATCTTGTGACCTGTCTCAACGATATGTTTAGCGATCGAAGAGCTTGGACGTTTGCTACCAACATTTATAGGTTCAGGTGATTTGATTTGCTTCTGAAGCCACTTTGGAATATGTTCCGAGGCCCTTACTTGCATGGATCTATTAGTCCTCCCTATGTATGTGTCACCACACGTACATTTGAATTGGTAGATACAATGGGATGTGACATTATCGTTCACATGCTGTGGGGGTTTGGGGGAATATAAGGGCTTCGTGGTTTCGATTACTCGAACCCTGGCTGCATAGTAAGTCCTTCTAACAGCAGCGTTGAGTCTCTGCTTAAGGATTGCACTCTGAGAGTCACCTTTGTACGGAAGGCTGATGAAGACATCCTTCTTTGGGACTGACTGCAGTTCTAGTTTTGACGCTCTGCTGATTTTGTTCTGCCTGATAAATGTTGATGGATAGTTATTTTCCAACAAAATATCGGTCAGTGTTCCTCTTTCATCTTCTAAAGTATCCTCGGTGCATATTCGTTGAATTCTGCTGAATAAGCACCTTACTAACGTTCGCTTGTACTGAACTGGGCAAAAGCTATGGTAATTCAGATATTGCCCTGTCCATGTGGGTTTTCTGTAGATAGATCGTTTTATGGATCCATCCTGCCTTCGACTAATTAATATATCTAGGAACGGCAAGCAGTCATTTTCCTCTCTTACACATGTCAAAGATATGCTGTTCTGTACTTCGTTCAGTCGGTTTAGAATTGAAGTAGCCTGATTTGAGTTTTCACAAATGATCAGGATATCGTCAACATATCTTCGATACAGATGGGCTTGGTCTATTAAGTTCTCGGCTAAGTTCTCAACGTGTGACATAAATATGTCGGCTAGGAGGGGACCTAAAGGACTTCCCATAGCGACACCATCAACCTGGCGGAAATGTTCGCCCTCAAAGGTGAATTTAATATTGTTTGTACATAAAAGTAACAGCTGTTTTAGGTGATCCAAAGTAATGGGTATCGGAAACTTATGCACAGAAATATAACCACATAAAATGTCAATTGTCTTGACCAAAGGGACATTGGTAAATAATGAGTTAACATCAAATGAACACATAAATTTACCCTTTATGTTGACATGCTCAAGGCATTTGATTACTTCAAATGTATCTTTTAAGGAATACTTACAAAATTGCTTCTTAATGGGATCCAATAACTCCACTAGCCACTGGGCAAGCTTATGCGTTGGCGACTTACACATTGACATTATGGGACGTAAGGGGTTGTTGGGTTTATGTACTTTGGGCAAACCATAAAGATGTGGGAATCGGGATTCAGTTGGTTTCAGTAGGGCGAATTTTTGACTGGTAATGACGTTCATTTCGAGCAGTTTCACTAGATTAGCAGTCACAGTTCCCTGTAGCAATTGTACGTCTTCTGAAGAACAATCCTTAGTGAATTTATTTTCATCTTCAAGAATCGATGACATTTTACACTTATATTCGATTTTATCCATGATCACGACACCTGAGCCTTTGTCAGGTCTGAGGATAATAATATCAGGGTTCTCTCGTAGTTCCTTCATAGCTCTGAAATGTTCAGAAGTTAGAATGCTTTTCTGGTTCTGATGGCTATCACAAAACTGGTGGGCGATATCCACCATCTTGGCTTTCAGCCATCCCTGGTCCTCAATTGAAGTTGGGACGAGAGGTTTCAACTGGTTGTATAGGTTTTCAAACTGTGCATGGGTAGCCAAATCTGATGACTGCTTTCGAGGAACACAAAATTTAAGTCCAAGGGATAGGGCTTCCTTCTGATAGGTGGACAGTGTCACTGTAGAAAGGTTAGTAACGTACTTATCCGGGTTAACAGGGAAATGGTTAATATGATTTTTACTGTCAAGTGAACTGGTTAGCTTCTGATGCATATTGGCTTTCGTTTTGAGAATGACATTACTACAAAATTGTAGGAATTTCAAACGACATATTATTGACAAATCCGATAGAATATTTGATACATTGATGTGGAGTAAAAGCATATCATGGAGCTTATCCTGCCCATTTTCGACATGTGACTTTGTAAGTCGCATAAGATTGGAGATGTTTGGTTGTAGCTTATTAGATTTCAAAGTTTTGTAAAACTGTCTGGGAAACATATGACCTGAAATACATGACTGGTAAAATCCAATTCTCTCGCGTTCAGAGGTAATTTTGCACCTAAGGTTAACAAGTTCATTTAACCTTTTGATAGTGTGCGGAGGGAGTCTTCTCTTCAAGAATTTAAAACAATTAGTTCCCTTGATAAACTTCGACAAAACAATAAGAAGACGTAAATTGTCTGAACCGTGTAATGTATTTGCGCAACACATTTCGAACTATCTGAAGTAATTAAATGCCTTGAGCATGTCAACATAAAGGGTAAATTTATGTGTTCATTTGATGTTAACTCATTATTTACCAATGTCCCTTTGGTCAAGACAATTGACATTTTATGTGGTTATATTTCTGTGCATAAGTTTCCGATACCCATTACTTTGGATCACCTAAAACAGCTGTTACTTTTATGTACAAACAATATTAAATTCACCTTTGAGGGCGAACATTTCCGCCAGGTTGATGGTGTCGCTATGGGAAGTCCTTTAGGTCCCCTCCTAGCCGACATATTCATGTCACACGTTGAGAACTTAGCCGACAACTTAATAGACCAAGCCCATCTGTATCGAAGATATGTTGACGATATCCTGATCATTTGTGAAAACTCAAATCAGGCTACTTCAATTCTAAACCGACTGAACGAAGTACAGAACAGCATATCTTTGACATGTGTAAGAGAGGAAAATGACTGCTTGCCGTTCCTAGATATATTAATTAGTCGAAGGCAGGATGGATCCATAAAACGATCTATCTACAGAAAACCCACATGGACAGGGCAATATCTGAATTACCATAGCTTTTGCCCAGTTCAGTACAAGCGAACGTTAGTAAGGTGCTTATTCAGCAGAATTCAACGAATATGCACCGAGGATACTTTAGAAGATGAAAGAGGAACACTGACCGATATTTTGTTGGAAAATAACTATCCATCAACATTTATCAGGCAGAACAAAATCAGCAGAGCGTCAAAACTAGAACTGCAGTCAGTCCCAAAGAAGGATGTCTTCATCAGCCTTCCGTACAAAGGTGACTCTCAGAGTGCAATCCTTAAGCAGAGACTCAACGCTGCTGTTAGAAGGACTTACTATGCAGCCAGGGTTCGAGTAATCGAAACCACGAAGCCCTTATATTCCCCCAAACCCCCACAGCATGTGAACGATAATGTCACATCCCATTGTATCTACCAATTCAAATGTACGTGTGGTGACACATACATAGGGAGGACTAATAGATCCATGCAAGTAAGGGCCTCGGAACATATTCCAAAGTGGCTTCAGAAGCAAATCAAATCACCTGAACCTATAAATGTTGGTAGCAAACGTCCAAGCTCTTCGATCGCTAAACATATCGTTGAGACAGGTCACAAGATTGATGTGGCTACTTCCTTTACACCTATCTACAAAACATGTTGGGGAGGGATCCTGAAATTTGTTGAAGCCTTAGCTATTAGGAAGTTTAAACCACCTTTATGTATTCATAAACAATTTGTTGTCACATTAAACCTTCCTTGGTAAATTCAACTATTGAAAAACCAAGTTCGATGTACTATTATTTTTTCGCCCTATTGATTTTCATTGTTATTCGGCCTTTAAGTCAGCCTTCCTACCTGACCCCTTTTTATTTTCTCACCCCTTATCTTCATGAGTTTTTATATAAATACCTATGACAAGTACGTGTGTGATCAGATAGTTCGAAATGTGTTGCGCAAATACATTACACGGTTCAGACAATTTACGTCTTCTTATTGTTTTGTCGAAGTTTATCAAGGGAACTAATTGTTTTAAATTAGATTAACTAAATAAACCTCTAGCTCGCCTCTGGATGCTTAGGGTGTCTTTAAGTTTTGTTTTAACGAGCATGCATCCGAGCAGGCTTGGCGCCACTTTGCGCCCTCATAGTGCTGGTCACCACGCGCGTACTCAGAGTCCCTAGTTCAGCCTTACAAGCCAGATAAGTTAATTAAACTTTCCCCCCATCCATTAGTATTACAGTTACTTAAATTAAATACATTGCTTCTTCAAATATATTCCGTATCAGCTCTTTTGATTTGTGTTCTGCTATCAGTACTTGCACGTTAGGTAAAGTACTGGTTAAGCAGGTACTAGAGCACACCAAGTTAAGTAGGGTTGATCAAATGTTACGGAATTGTGACAAGCACCCCTACAGATAACTATTATTAGGATGAAAACTGATAGGAGAAGTACTTATATGAAGGTGAAGTGTATGATATTCAAAACACCTAAATAAATTTACCGAAGTAGTAATATATCTGGAGGTAGAAAGAAACGACCAAAAATCGTAATACTCGGAACATTGTTAAGGAATAAAAGATTCGGAAGTCCATGGTCCCGGGCGAAAATGCTTGGTTCTTTCTGTGCATGCGGAAAAGCCTAACAAAATAATGTGATCATGTTTTCAACAAGGAAATGAACAGGAGGTGGTAATAGTTACTAGGAAATTGATTTTATTAAATGTCACTCGTCTGAAAGTAACCTCCTGGCCAACGGACTCTTCTTCTTGACTTTTTGGTTCTGCTGCCGTCGCTAGTTGCGGGCGATTCCGACGCCGTTGTCTCCGTTTTGACGACTGTTTTCGGTGTTTCCGGTTGTTTCACTGTGGATTCAGACATGGTATCCATGGCGTCTGGTTCCACAAACGCTGGCTTGATTCTGTCACTGCTGACCATTTCTTGTCTGCCGGAGCTTTCGACTGTGAAAACATTGTCTGATTTACGAATTACTTTGATGAGTGCTTCATACAGGGGTCGTAAGGGTTTTCGTACGCCGTCGTGTCGGACAAAAATCAAACATCACATATCCTCCCCTTTTGGGTTCACCTCCTGATACTAGTATTAGCCCTCTAACGCCTTACTCAGCCCCACACTCTGCCACAATTGTCGACGATCAAAGCCATCAATCCCTCGTTCATAGTCCCCGGTTTCACCTAAAAGCTTTCGACCTCCAAAATTTATGCCAAATCAGACAGCGAGCGTCGTTCTCAAAAACCCTGGAACCTCAGCCATAAGTCTATGTTGTATCTATGAGACAAGTATACAGGATCTAAGTATGGTTTTTTAATTGACCCCACCCTGTCATACTGGTGAATCTTAAAACTTCCCCTTACAAGCATTGGTGACCCAGTGGCCAGCTTTTGTGAACTAGCTGCTGTGGGCGTTGCATTGAGCTGTATAGCAGAAAGTACGCTCCTCGACCGGATTCCAGTGAGCAGCCGTCTATTTGCCGTTCAACTGAATGGATCAGCTACGAATAAGAAGGATCTTGAGACAAGGCGATACCCATTCATGACCCCTGCCTACGCACCCACCAACTGTAGTTCTGGTGACGCAAAGGACGACTTCTGCCATTAGTTGTTTCGGCTTTGTTACAGAAAGCGAAATGTGTACGTGAAGTCACAGTGATGGGTGACCGTAACACTTAAATGGGGGAAGCTTAGTCAATCGGAAGGGTATTTTGTAGATACTCGCAGAGTCCTATGTCATCGAGCCAACGACGGTGACCATTCATTGTAGATTTCTCCTGACAGTCACTCTTTTCTGGCCAAGAATGACTCTAGGCGTAAGGACAGACAATGTCTTACATGGCTTTCTCCTATTTCAAAGCATCAGTAGACATAGATAGATGGTATTTCCACGAGATATCGTTGGAAAAGATCTACGAAGGGTCACCGTCCTTCCTACAGTACTAGTTTACGACCTGATCTCACGCTAGTACGGGCTTGTGTATGCCTGCACCCTGCCGGCAGCAGTAAGCAGAAGGCAGTGGTCATCTGCGCTGTACAACTACTTGAATACAGCAAACCTGCATTTAGAGCGGAGCTGGCCACGAACTTCAGTGTTCATATACACACTCCTGAATTCGCAGTCACACACCATTTTTACGGGTGGAGACAAATTTAAACGAAGGTTACGCATTGCTTTGGGACAAGTGATCTCAATCACTGGAATTTTTGCACTCCATGTCAATAGAGCGTGGGATGTCGACAGGACGCCATGGACTAATGGAAGTACTGTCCTTGCATAAGCAGAAGCCAGAGTTTGCATCTTAGTATTGCAGCGGTTATCTGGAGAAAAAATAAAACCAGAAACTAATATCTTCCTTGTTATGTTCGTCATACTTAGCCCATTAATAATGACGGGAATCTTGTGCCTTAATTCACTCATGTGGTTTGTTGTTTGCTGTTCTCTAACGACTGAAGAAATATAGATTTCACTCATCCCTGTGCTAGTCATATTCAGGGATTAATAATATTACCAAATATCTGCCTTTTCATCTCCAGTATAAACGTGTAGAACGTTTGTTTGGACGCATCAGGAGGACGGCCAGAAACTTTCGTTTGCCATATTTCTTGGCCGTAACAACCATGTACGACACGTTTCTACTCACTTTCGTAACGGATCCCAGGTCTTGATAATCATAAAGCTGTAGCTCATGAAACATTTTTCGTTTCTCGACACTGCGCTTTTGTGTTGCAAATGAAGTGACGATTTTCGACCGACAACGTGTATTTTCAGCACAAGTTTGTTCCTTTAGGAATTTGATTTCATCTATAACCAGGGAGGCTTTCAAGGCTGAAGAGTTTGCATAAAACGACAAAGAATGAACAAGCAACTGGCAGCAAAAGAAGACAGAAGTTTGACCAGGAGATGGTTTTTTATATGCGTGTTTCCCGGCGCCTTGACTTTCCTGATTGTGCATTAGTTCTGTCTACTTCGTCTGGTAAACATTCAAGTATTTATTTCCCTTGATTTTGCTAGTTCAAGGCCCAATTCCGTGGTTATTGTTGTGGAAAGATATGTCTGTGTGTCATTACATAAAAATGCTTAGTTATGGGAAAGAGTACTTAGGATTACAGATGAAAGTTAACAGCAGATGTAGGAGTCCCATCTAGGCGTTCAGGGGGTCTAATGTATAGGGCAATACTGAAGATGGTGATAGCGTACCCAGTAAGCCGGATCTACTGCCAGATAATAAGAACTCAGTTAACAGCCGGTTAAATCCAGAGGTTGATTTGGACGCCTTCACTTTAGTAAAAAGTCTGTTCCAAATCTCAGGGAGTCTTATGGTGAAGAAATTGGCACGCAAGCAGGACTTAAACGGGTTCATTGCACTGCCGTATGTTTGCATGCGCAAATCGTTACATCTGTTGTGTTCAAACTGAAGCTCACCACTGGCTGTAAAAATGAATTTGTGTAGCAGATTGAAGAACAGCGTCCAGTTAATTTTGGACCATCTCACCCAAAGTGGTTGCAGATTCATGGTTCCGCGCCTGGAACTGTAGTCCTGTGTGCAATCGTATCCCGGTAACCTAGCTATGAAACACTTTTGGGCACCCCATATTTTTAGGCTGTCTTTAATGCGGATGCCACTCGATATAGACAGACGATATTCTTGAAGTGGACGTATGCAAGTTTTACAGAGCTGCAGCTTGATGCCTTTGAGGTGTAAGTTATGGACTATGCAAAGCATTAGTATCCTAGATTTGTGAGTCTGCGATGCCAGCTGTTCAGAAAAAGTGAGATCACCTGAATATCTTAGCCCGAGGTCAGATGCACTTTAAAGAACAGGCAGTTGCGAAGACTGAAGATGTATTTGGGTGTGCACCGATGGAGCACTAGAATATGTCCACCCATATTTGCTTGCACTGAACTGGATTTTGCAAGCAGCAGACCATGTGGATATTATATCAAACTAGATTCGTCCCAATCCTTGGAAATGGGGTAAATCGGCATCAAGAAGTGCGAATCAAACGTTTAGGTCATCAGCAAACAAAAATGGCTTAGAATGCGTAAAGCAGCTGGAAATGTCGTTGGCATGCAAGATAAGAAGAAGAGGATCCAATACACTGCCTTGGGCTACACCAGAGGTAACTGGCCTAGGTTTTGAAGCTCGTGACTCTACGTTCACCACTTGTGCGCGACCACTGAGGAAGGACCTAATGCATCTTAATAATGGATAGTCAATTCCCAGAGGCTTTAACTAGCTTAGTAGCGGTAACTCATCAGCTGTGTCAAAATGTCTTTGAAATGTCAAGATAAAATGCAAGGACTAGTTGGTGTCGGTCAGGCATGGTTATTACGCAGTTGAAGAAGTCAAGATTTATTTATTTATTCAAGATGGCAAGTTACACAGGACCTTCATTTCGGAAACCAGTGCTGACCGAGTGCGATAGTGTTGTTACTAAGCGTGTGCTGAAGAACGCATTTCTTAATAACTTTCTCCACAGTTCTGGAAACTATAGGGGAAATTTTTATTGGTCTGTGATTACTGCCTAGTGCTTCTAAACAATATTTATATCTAGGTAGGATAAATGATGTTTTCCAGATATCGGAAGGCGTGGACAATTCTAAGGACAGAAAATATTCTGAGTAATAATAACCGAATATCGGGGCCACCACAGTTAAATAAATATGAAGGTACTGTGTCCGTGCTAGCGCTGCCGGAGCATTTCAGCATCTCAGTGGCTTTGTTAGTACTAGAATATGAGAATTCAACCGCATCTATGGGTGTTAGCGGGGGAGAAGAACCATTTTTCATAGTGCGGGCCGTATTGGTATGATGGGAAACAGTTGTAGGCTATAGATAACTGGCCGCAACTAAGTCGCTGAGTATTCCACACACACCTGTTCGATTCCTGCAAGCCTTTGCGACATGAACAAGAAGAGGATTGTCCTTTCTTGCGCGTTTTGGTCGTTTCTTAAAGATTGTCGAGACATCGTAAGCTCTAGATAAGCTAGCTAGCGCACCACTCTCTCCATCCTTCATATGCAAATCGTGGTTGCGCGAGACACAGTTAAGAATACCAAGAATCAGCCGGAGAGCACCGAAGTCGCGATATATCTATTATCTTGCTGATAGTTTGCGCAACTTTCTGCGAACACTGGGAGGTACGTTTTGCCCACTTTTTGGAGACATTTTTTGAAACCTTTCAAAGGAACAACGGCATTGAGACAGGTTTTGAAGTAGTAGTAAAATTAAAGCACTTGAATAATTTGGCTAGGATTCCTTTTTTGGGAAAGAACTTGCTGGGTTATTTCCTCTTCTTCTTGAACGATGCTTTTAGGTATTCATCAAACATGACTTTCGTTTCTGCCAGATAACCTGAAGGCATAAAAAAACTAAACATTTAACTTTAAGTGCACTACATATATCTGATGTCAAATCTTCTTTCTTTCACGCTGAGGATCTCCATCATCTGGGATGGAAAAGAGATGGCAAGCGAAGATAATTGCCGAAGATTTTCACCATTAAATTTCATAACCCCACCTGTGAAAACGATATGCATCCGCGAATTCATGGATAATTGCTATTATCACTGTCATCATTATCGTCGTATACTAGGGGATAATTTCCGGCGTCCAGTGGTGAAGTATGATCCCCATTCGACGCACCTAATCAGTGGATACCGTCTCCCAGTACGCCAAGCCGTCGCCTTTGTGGATTGGAAGTATCAGCTGAAGTGCTAGTTTGAGGAAGTGGCGGCGTGCATAATGCCGTTTTGTGATCACCTCCCAGAAACTTGTAGCCCACATGAGAGAGGCGTCAGCGTTGGGTAAAAGCCAGCAACTACAAAGCTTTGCTATGGGTAAGAAGAAGACGACGATGGGTGAAACTGTCACCAAAACGAATGGTACCTTGATATCCCCCAAGTACAGGTGGCATTAACATTAAGCAGAACACTATGAAGTACAGTTCAACTGGCCATCAACAATACTTTGGCTGTCAAATATCGTCTGAACATGAATTGGAAACAGATATCTGTCCTGCAACTTTCCCTGAACTTCACAGGGCTGAATCGAAACTAAAACGATGTACAATAGCATGACCTCGCAGACTGCCACCTAAGGATTTCAGGTACGGTGGTCGAAATCCTCTAAATAACAGAGCGCAGGCATGAAGTAGTGCCTGGGAAACATAGGCGATGCCGTCAGGCTGCTGCACCTCACGAATTACCACAGTCAATAAAAAGGGAAGGAAATCAAGAACTGACGAGAATAGAAGAGATAGTTTCTCGAAAATACTCTCACGGATAAGCGCATCCACAGATATCGGGGGCCATACTGTGGAACAATACGACAAAATCCGAGAAAACTACGGAGCTTGACTAAACATACAATAGAGATCGTAAGTGTAGCCAAGTGCACATCTGCAAATTCATTTTCAGATTCAAACTGCATACACCCCTTAGGACTGAGACACATAAGTCTATTCACCCTAGGCAATCGCAGAGAGAGGCGTGAACTTGTTATGGCCTACAATACCATCCATCAGGTAAGTCACGCGAACATACTAGCCCTTCCTGAAAAACAGTTATCACCACGAGCAAACCGCATCAGGTTGGCATATCAGAGAGTTAAAACCAGGCTTAGGTCTGGCTTTTTCTTCCTAAAAGCATATGCCTTGGGGATTCCCCTAACGCGGTTTAGGAGTGGTCCTGGTGGGAAACTTTATGGACGCAAAGACCAATCACTAATTGTTCGGACTTGCTATATACCCACGAATAAAAGACCAGGAAAGAATATGATGCTGTAGTCGGATGGAATAGTATATTCGGATGGTTATGCCAAGATACCGGTGTGTTCCAACTGTCTAGAGAGTCGAATACGAGCAGTACAACGTAACACGACAGCGTGCCACATGGCGAGGATGCCTGACCGGGCGCCTTCAGCCTAGCGAGTTCAGTTAGACTATCAAAGTCAGCATCAATGTTGAATCTCATCAAACCCTGGGCTTTTGATTTTGGGGAAGTGTGTGAAGCTACAGCAAGACCCAGTCAAAGCCCCCTTGGTTGGACAGTCACGTCAACTGGCATGACTTACCATTCAGTGAATTGCTGAGCTCACTAGCTCACGCTTGTATCCCTTCTGCTGGCCACTCACTCCCCCTCTGTTCGTGCGCCTGCATTATCTAGCAACTAAATTGATGTTATCTACCTAGAACTTTCAGGGATTATTACACTCATTTTCTCACTATTTTGCTATTACTGTTCGGGCACCTACACAGACAGAAGTCTTGACAGGTCACTAATCTTCTCTGCAACTCATATCTCCCATGTTTCCAAGCCCACAAAACATTCACCTTGGCCGAGCTAAAAGCACGAAGGCAGAAGAGATTTCTTTGTCCAATGCAGGAGCAAACCGAACAACTCTAAGTCCCAAGATATAGATGAGATGCATCAAAAACTATAGCTCTAAAGATAGTGGAAATCAGAGTCTGTAAAAAATCTCTGGTTGACTAGCAAGATCCAGAAGCCAGGGGAAATCAATAAACAAGGTCGGCTAAACAGATATTGAAAATCGTAAGTCTGGCCAAGTGCTTATTTTCAAACTCAGTGTTTGCAATTTCAAGAACCAGGTCCTAGGACCTAACATCGTTTTCCAACGGTAAATATCTTACGGGTTGGTACCCTCATACTTTGAAAGGAAGTTACTCGGGATATTGCAGAACTGTTCAGGCTTGTTAACGGGAACTGTTTCAAATGGTTAAGAATCACCGTTCAAAAAGTTGCAAGGAATGCATTCCAGCAGGACAGACGTAGAACCTAAGGAATCATCGTTCGCTATTTCTGTAACATAAAGTTCGATTTTATAGTTGGAATAGACGATCAGTTAGTATCAGTATGGGGCCTGGAGGTCATAAGGTAGCTACTTCACGCCCCAAGTTGCAACACATGTTAGCCCTTAAACGTAGGATGCATCTTGAAGATTCATATTTTTCGTTTGAGAATAAAAGGCTGTGAGCCTATGTTAATCCTTCTCCAGTAGATCTCTGTGCCTAACCAATCCCTTGAAGGAGTCATTGGATCGTGATGAAATATGGACGAGAGTGAAAAAGTGATAAAGCCCTGTAGAAAAAACAGGAAGAATTAAACCACACTAAAGTTCTATTTAACAACTAAAATGAAAACACCTAGGTGAATGCGTACACGTGCTCTAGCTAACAGGGAATAATTGCCAAAACATGTGCTTCTGAAAGCAATGTTGGTGCCATTTTCCTCCAACCCTCTTCTACATCAACTATACGTCCGGATGTATGCCTCCAGTGGGAAGCAAGGTAGCTTTTCGTGAAAACCATCTTTCAGCCCGACTAGACTGTATTCATTGTGTAAAGAGAGATTACAAAGACATCGACGAGTTTCACTGTTCCTCTTGTTACTAACTGCTCCATGCATTAATGTTGATGTAGTTAGGCATCGTGCTGGTGACTGCCGGCTAAGACCAAGTCGAGCAGTGCACTTTATGCTTTATGACGTGATGCTATACCTACATCTGTAAGACCATAAGAACTTGGCCACGAATCTCGGTGGATGGAGTTTGCAGACCCATCATAATTTGTTCGGGTGAGGTTAAGTGAATGACTACACTCGGTTCCTGTATACATGTCTCACAGACAGGGCACATATCGTTTAGGTTAGGTGCTAGGGTTCTGGCTAGTGGAGTTTGTTGGGTAATTTAATAGTGTGTGTAGACATTGGTAGCTCCAACTTGTAGTTTCGGGCGTGGTTTCATGAGACTAGAAATGCTGTTTCGTGAACTCAAATTGTTATCACAGAGCTGTAGAGATGTAAAAAGTCATGGCTTAGGACGAACAGACCGTGCTGCATTCCGTTCTTTCCTGTTGCACGGCTGCGGGTTGAGCAAAAATGTGAATATGATTGGCATGCGTTTCGCTGTAAGATGATGTCCCATGGCTGGTCTGCAGCAAGTAAACTCAGTTTAACCATAGTGAGTGAAGTGGTGGAATGTGCCAACCACATCACTTACTTGGGGAGTTGCACCAGCCCCAACCGAGTGGTTTGATGACAAAATCTCAGCTCGGATACAGAAGGCCAGTGTGGCATTTGCAAACTTGCGTCATCTATGGCACCGGTGAGATGTCTGACTATCTGTTTACCAAAGAAGAGAACCTGTATACTGACTGTCCCACAGTCCGTTATGTCCTGTTGCATGACTGTGAAACGTGGCTGTCAAAAGTAGAAGACATGAAGCGGTTGCGGGGTTTCGACCATAGATGTCTTGGTAACATTGCTCAGATTTGGTAGAATCACCGTATGAGCAATGTTGAAGTCAGGCGAAGGGTACTAGGCAAGAAAGGCCGGCAAGTCGATTGATGAGGCTGTGAGCCTTAGTTGACGGAGATGGCTTGGACATGCCGAGCCACTGCCTACCTCGACATGCCGTGCTAGAGGAAGTTGGATTAGGTTGGGAGAGGGTTGAGGGTGGCCAGACGAAGACGTGGTACCAGTGAATGAAGTCTCTGACTGTTGATGTGAGTCATGTGGGGCGATGTAGACTGCCTGTTTGGGGTGGTCGAGATGAAAGGAATCAGTGGTTGATGACTTTTGGTGACATGGCTGAAAGTCGGTGACAGTGGCGCAGATGTGTTCACTTACTGACGTCTTCTGAAGCTTGAATATTCGTACTGATGGTCATTTTCGGGATGTTTGTTGTCCCACACAAGTTTTGTTTACTTTTATATCACTCTTTATCTATGTACCTGTTCTTTGTGTACTATTGTGAAGTGTGGCAACTTGAGGTGATGCACTTGTGTGTATGGTTCGGCTTTTGTTTTGTCGGCCAGTAACATTTTGATATGACTGTTTGTTCAGCTATTTACTTTTTAGCTTTGACGTCGCTTCTGTAGTTGTTTAAGTTGAAAGAGCGCTGAAGCTGTTCTCAAAAGAAGCATTTATAGAAAATCACCTTAGTGGGAATTTACCTATGAGGGGTGAGAATTTTATCGCAACCTGTTCTGTGGCGTCATTGTAAGTGTTATCATAATAGAACCTTGTCGCCATCTTTGCTCAGTATATGAAAGTTATTGACAAATAGATTGGTTAAGTATGACGCTCCCATTGCAACTGATATTAGTTAAATGTAAAAGTGGATTTACCTAAAGGACTTGGGTCAGTTTCACAGGTGAAAATACGAAACTCTGCTGTCCTTCAAACAACTAATCAGGAACGAGTGTGTTCTTTACTATCTTTCTGAAGTTCAAAAGTTGAGAATTGTTTTTGTTTTCGTTGTCAGTATAATAATGTCAAATTTGCTCAGCTTTGCAGTTTGCAGAGTTGGAAAATGAGTGTTCTCTCACCAGCTTTAGGGCTATGTTCGCAATTTCCCGTTGCAGTTTGCACATTATTGTCTGATTACTGAAACTAGACTCCTAGGTCAAGCAATTTGGTATGAATTTTTATTGTTTAGCTTTTAAGATGAGAATTTGTGACTAAATAAGAACTGATACTGAAATGTGAGCCTTCTGGTTGATTGCTTTACGTTTTATTGGTCGTCAGGGATTTGTATCTTTTTAGTTACGTGTAGGATAAAGTTATTGCTAGGCTTGTGATGTGAACTTCATTACGCTAAAAATGACTTATTCAATGATTGTAGCTGCGTCTAGTTTCGAAAGTTTTCAGGCAACCTTTGAAGCATGGTAAAGTTTCAAAAAATTACCAACTAGTTAAACTGGCTTCATCGTGACAACCTTGGTCACAGCTATTGGTTTAAATGCAAGGGGTGTCATATTATTGAACTGATTATTCATGGATTTATCTACTGACGTTTATCTAGAAGTCTCTCAACGTACAATACCAAAAGTCACATGTATAATGCAGCTTATATTTGAACTTCTACTCAGCTAGTTTCCTGTATTAGACGAAGGAAGTATTAACTTCTACCCCACCTTTTTTGATAATTGATCTATTTTTTTGATCTATCTTTTTGATTTCATTTGTGCAGCTCATTAGAAAATGGCTAAGTCTTTACCGGTTAAAATGGAAATTGACTTGACAACTCAAGTAGCTGAATCTGCAAATGTTGATAGGAATCTAGTCAGTCGTGTAATTCCAATGTTTGAAGAGGGCTACACTGTACCGTTTATTGCACGTTATCGTAAAGAAGTGACTGGAGGTATAGAACCGGCGATTTTGCATAGGTTAAAAGATAAAATAAATGATTGCAAGTAAACAACGTTATTGTCTTGGAAGTAAATTTCATTTAGAATGGTTGTCGACAAAATAGAGAAGTCACTGGAGTTTTTTAATAAAAGTGGACTGCTTACTGACGAATTATCACAGCAGTTAATGAAGTGCAAAACAACTGAAGATATAAAACTTCTTGTAAGTTTGTTCAAATACTAACTTGATTTATATAATCCGTTCTGTGTTAGACAGATCCTTTTAAATCGAAGGGTCCACGTACACTTGCAGGTCGGGCGAAAGCTGCCAATTTGGAGCCTATTGCTTTAGACATACTTCATTCCAATAAGTTTGTTGATATATATAATCGGGCTCCTCCGGAAGCTAAAAGTAAGAGTATCCGGTTCATTTTCTTGATGAATTTTCTGGTTGATATTTTCTTATTTGCTTTCCAGTTAACCATTCAGGAAACAAATAGCTCGTTTGACTATTATCAGAATTCCAAGTGATATAAGCTATGTAATGATATGGTACCACTACAAACTTTGTGGGCAGAGATAGCTTATTGCGCTGTTTAAATTTATTATAAGGACTAACCGCTTTACAGGTAACTGGTTGCTACTCCCATATAGGCCAACAATAAGTAAACCCAAGAGTCGTAGGTTAAAACCATCTTGGGGCTGGTGAGTCAAGCATTATTTCTCACCCTCGTAGTTTGTGTGAATAGCTTTAAGAAAAACCTCACGCGATCATTCGCCAGCACTTTCAGTTTCCTAACTTTTAGTTAGTAATTTCCTATTTCTTATGTGCCATACGGTGTTTCTTAAGAACAAGTAATTAATTTCTTTCTAGCATAAGCTTGTAAATCATTGGGTGTAAACTCTTTGTGACGTGGCTAAAAATCGGTCACAATGACAAATATGTATTTATTATGTCACCTTTTCTGGAGTTCGAACATTCTCACCAACATTCTGCTACTATATACTTGTCCACTTCGATATCACTTTTTGTCTTTGTTTGCTCTTTGTATGCTGCTGTGGGTTGTGACAGCCTTAACCGATGTAGTTCTGCGTGGCGTTGAGTGGATTAGTTGTATACGTAATTACAGACTGGCAGCAACTTTAGGCAAGATTTACAATCAGTGTCTAAGGCTTAAAATGTGTGAATTGTGAAGGTCTCTGAAACTAATCCACTTTATCCTCATTTTAGAAGGTCACATCTTCCAAGCCTTAGGGACCGATTGCAAATCTTGCTTTAAGTTGTTATATTTATTATTCTATTATTTGTCTTTCAGGTTCCCAGTGGAATATAGGGCTTCAGTAGCACGTCGCCATTTCACTCTGTTCTCTGCAGTCTTTTGAACCTGGCTCTACCACTGCCCACAAGCTTTCATTTCTTCCTCATATGATCTCCTCCATGTCACCCTCAGCTGAGACGCCCAGCTCGTCGTTTCCCATTTGGATTCCACTCAAGGGCCTGGCCTGGCACGTTATGTCCCCAATCAGCCTTCCCAGTGTATGCCCAATCCGTCTCTACTTTCGTCTGTATATTCATTGCGTGATAGGTTCTTGGTTAGTTCGTTCCCAGAGTGAGTTCCTTGTTGCTTATTCTTATTATTCTGATCATCTGATCTTCAGTATCGAGCCAGCGTAGGCAGTTGTTGATGAATGTCTGTAGTTTGTTGGAAATGCTTTTCGTGACTCGCCAAGTTTCTGAACCATATAGCAACACTGACTTGACTGACATCTGTTGAAAATCCGGATGTTGTTCACGCTTCATGCTGAGTACAGTAGGTCTTCACACTGATTTCAAATTAATGAAAGCCTGTCTTGCTGTCTTTCCGATCCTGGCTTTGACGTCCTCATCTGTACTACCTGTATTTAAAACGATGGTGCCTAGGTTTCTCCCGTTAATGGTGATTGGTGCTTGTTGTTGATGCTGTTGTTGGTTGGGTATCTTCATCACCTCTGTCTTCTCTAGGTCCACCTGAAGTTTTCTCTGCCTCTTCGGTCAATTTGTTAGTTTTCGCTTGTGGATCTTCGAGCTTGTGCGACATTAGACATAAATCATCATCGGCAAAATCCAAATCTGCTAGGCTCTTTTCATCGGTCAAGCCAGCGTATGTCCATCTTCTCGCTCCTCACAGTTTGTTGCATGATCCAGTCTAGTCAACCACAATCAGGAAGATGATGAGTGATAGTAGGCAGTAACCTTGTCTTGCTCCTGTGTTCACTCCAAAGGCATCACTGAGCTTTCCATTGTGAATCACTTGGCTTGCAGTACCATATAGTATATAGCTGTTGAATGAGGTTGATAACGGTTTGTTACACTAAAACTGTAGTGTTGTAGCAGCTGCCAAGTTACTTCTCAGTAGACTCTATCGAAGGCCTTTTCAAAGTCGATGAAGTGGAAGTAAAGAGTTGACTGAAATCCTATGCTCTATTCTATGATGATGCGTAACATAGCATTGCGATTTGATCCGCATATGATTTGTTCTTCCTGAACCCAGCCGGCCTGTTCCGGTCGTAATTTTGAATCCAGACCACTTTTTAGTCTTTTAGGATGATGCGGCCTAATATTTTGGTTTGGGAGTTCAGGAGCATGATTCCGTGCCAGTTCTTGCAAAGACTTAGGTCACTCTTCGGGAGTTTGACAATTTAACCCTTCTTCCAGTCGCCAGGTACCTTCCCTTCCTTTCTTTCGAAACCTTCTGCAATAGTGGTGTGAGCATGTCCGCTGTTGTCTCTGCGTCTGTTCTCAGTGCTTCTGGCGGGATTCCATCTGGTCCTGCTGCTTTCCCGGATTTCAGCAACTTTATTGTGTTTAGGACTTCTACTTTTGTCGGAGGGTCTGTGTTCACTTGTAGTTCTGTGGCTGCAGTTGGTATTTCTGAGCTGGCTGCATCTCCACTTTCTTGAGATTGAAATGAAGTCGATTTGATTTTTAGTGTGTCCATCTGGTGAATGGTGAAATCAGATTGATGTCGCTGCCTTGTGAATATGCTTGTGTTTGTACACATTGCCTCCAATCACCAAATCACTAAATGCGCAGGTCTGCAAACAGTTTTCCATTCCCACTCATTTCACCGAGTGCCTCTTGACCCATGACGAGTTCTCTCCCTGTGTTGTCCGCTCCCAGTTTGGCATTCATGTCGCCAATCGGGGTCTCGTCGATTACTGATTGCAGTTGTCCGTAGAATTCCTCTTTCTTCTCTTCATCTGCATTATTTGCAGGTGCATACTATCGGGATTGTGTGATTGTGACTTTCCTTCTTTTTGATTCGAATCTTGTTGTCATAGTCCTGCAGGAAGAGATTGGTTCCCACTGCATGAGAGAGAGCCTTTGATACTGTTGGGGACATCATGACAGCCACTCCAAAACTCAATATGCTCGTGGTTGTCGTTTGGGTGACAATATCGTAGTAGATTATTGACTCTGCAGTTGACAGTTGGGAGAGTTCACTTCCATGCTATACCTTCTCATCTCTTTTGCACTCAAGGCAGCCTTACTAGGTTCATACATGATGCGGACATTCCATTTCCCTATGTTCGCTTTTACTTTCATGTAGAGAGTGAAGACACATCAGCCATTTGGCTTCCCGAAGGCTTTCACCAAACGGCGTTATTTCGTCTCCCTGATTTCAGCGCTGAATAAGTTTATTTTTATTTTTGATATTTTCTTTGTGCTTCGAAGTTTCTTCATCGATTGGATTGCTTTCCGGGGTAAGGTTGCTAACCCTATCCCCAACCTTCACTCTTTATCCGGGTTTAGGAAGGGCTAGTAACTAGTAAACTAGGCGAGGTTGCTTTAAGTTGTTGCTTGTCTATAAATACTTATACAATTAAGGAATCAAATGCAGATGTGCACTAAGTTTTGAATTAAACCTATGATTTGGTAGTTGAAGCACTTGGTATTAGTTTTGAATGCTGAACTCATTGTTTCAACTTAAGTGCATGAGCTGCTTCACATGTGCTAATTAATCTGCAGTGTAGTTAATGTAAGTTTGTGAATGTGAAAGAAATTAAAATTGACTACACTAAGTAGTCCGTTGCCTATGTCCAAAAATCGTAATAGTGTTTTAAGAAAAAGATGCACAGCAAATGTTTCGCTGGGAACATGATTGCAAGTATTGAGTTTCAAGCACTACTAGATAGATAATGTATCATGTTAAAAAGTAAGTGCTTATTTTGAATTCCGGTTTTAATCATTACCAAAGTCTTTTTATGTTCCTTAGATTTTATGATCGAATCATGAACGTATGGTTCTTATTAATTTCTCATTGTATTAGTTACTGAAGGAAATTGTCATCAAATTTGTACTTGGTGTCTCACTTGTTTCTTACAGAAGTTTTCCAGTCAAAAGCAGCTCTTGAGGATGCTGTATGCCATATTATTGCGGATATTTTCGCCAAAGATTTGGATATAATTCGAAAAGCTGAGGAGTTGTAAGTTAATCGCTTGTATTTACTGAAACACTGTTTTTCAATGAAAAGCATATGTGTGCTTGACTTCAGGATTCCAATTCACTTCACAATGATCCTGAGTACACTTTCGTATTGGGAAAAAAAGTTCTGTACCAATTAGATGATTTATTCTGATTTTGCGTAGGTTCTCCGAAGTGAATCATGTGCTGAAATAGTCTGCATTGTTATGCTGGATAGTTATACGAATGCCGAGAATTCCATTTAATAACTTATGCGTATGGATTTGAGTGTTACTGGCCGATTTTGTTGCCTGCTTGTACATCACTGACTGTCCCCCTTCTGACTCAGATTTTGGTTTGAAGCTCTCTAAGCTTTGTCGTAGACGTTTCATCACCAGGTTAGGTGACACCTGCAGCACTAAATTCATAAAGAAGTGAAGTATGTTCGAACATTTCGATAGTGTTTTTACTGACCTAGAGTGTTGTGCGAATGTAAGTTAAGGAAAAGATTTTTGTTACAGGCTGACCTCTTTGACTTTATATTTCCTTTCGTCACGTTGGTAGACGACCGTCTGGGAAAATCAACCAAGAACCTCACACACAAGTGCATCACCTCAAGTTGCCACACTCCACAGTAGTACACAAAGAACAGTTACGTAGATAAAGAGTGATATCAAAGTAGACAAAAGTTGTGTGGGACAACAAACACCTTACGGCTGACATCCTCTCCAGCTAGTAGTAGTACGACTTCGCTCTCTGACCACAGTCAAAGTGTAGAAATTTACAGCATAACGGTAACTGCTTTTCGTGTAACCACCATCCAACAGACCTTTCTAGCATGGTCGGACCTCGAAGAAACAAGCATTCTAGCCAGTGTAGCTCGTTAAGCCACTGCGATATGCAAACCCAACCACCACGTCAAGATCGCAGCATGTGTTGGGACGTTGGTAGATGATCTTTGTTGAAGTAAAATTGTATTGTTTATTTTTGTCACAATGTGCATCATCGTTGATTTATTTGGTCATTTTTCCCTTGGTTGACGGATGACTGCGTTCTTCTTAAATAGATTGTACATTGGGTCTGTGTCCACATGTCTGTTGATTGACTCTTCATTTGAATGCCATGCTCCTGGAAATTCTCTTGGAGCTTTTGAACCTGGTCTCTGGAGGATTTCTACATTCCACCAGTAGAATTCATGATCGTGTTTGTCTGCGTACAGTGAAACGAGGAGGCTGCTTGATACTGCTTTACTGCTAGTTAGTGTCCATGGTTCTTTGAGCAGTCCAACGGCTAGACTGAACGACATAATGATGTGAACCATCTTTGCAGTTGATTTTGTAGACTATATTTATCCTGTCTTCTTTTGACAATGAATCTTTCGGTTTGCACAACAAGCTATGTATTGATTTTGATGGTTTGTGTACTACCCCGATTCAGAAAGGACAATGCAATCGGTTGACCGTTTCTGAGATATCTTTTGTCTGGGGGTGGTGTAACGCGCCCATTGATGAGACAATTGCCCTGCGTTTTATCATGGTGATAAACACTTTTTGATAAAGCTGATTCAGGCAACTTAATTATTTATAGTTTGTTATAATAAAATATTTGATTGGAAGGTTTGTGAAGAACTAAGTGGTTTTGATGCAGTTTTCATTGCAGATTGACATCAGCTAGGAAAGCATTCAAATTTTTGAGGAATGAACAGCTATGTGCTGGAGTTCAACAGCTCTTTAGTCTATGCACTCAGTTTTCATGTTGTAGGTCACGTGTTCGAACCGTGCTCCACCTACCTTACCGTGGTTTGGGCAGCTAGGTAGTATCAGTAGCCATCACACAATTTGTAGGATTCATGGCCTGCTGCACGAACGTGCACATGTTTCCCGAGCACATTCCAATTTTTGACCCATTCTGGTCTCGGGATTGTCAGGTCTCACGTTACCATTGGGGCTTTTAGTTGCATTGCGGCGAGTTTTAGTGTGTCCGTGAAGGCCCATATCTAGTATGCATCACTTCAAGCGCCAGGGCGTTATCCACCAGATCTGTAAGGTGCAAAAGCCGTCACTTATGGTTCAAGAAGTACCATTTTTGTTTTTGTTTGTAATAATTCCATCTTTAGCCAACATGATTTCACTTTCGATCAATACTAAGTATTATCTGTGTGTTCATTTTTAATTGTGACCTGTCCGCATATGTAATAGCGTGTGTTGGATTTTCGAATGTGGAAGTTTTTATTTTCTCCGACTACTTTGTTCTAGTGATCAGTGAAAATAATTTGCATATACGTGTTACTTAAGTGTCATAATGTGGGATGGAATCATTTCACAGTTTGATAGACATTTCTGAGTCAAATTTGATGGCAAATGCTGTGATCATTTAAGAATTGCCACGGAAAATGGAGTTAAAGTTTTCTAAGCATAAGATAACTGATTACATTCTTATTAAACACAGCAGCTTGAGACAGCAACTACTGTATAAGGTTTAGTTACTTTCTCTTGTTAGTCTCAAACTGTGCTGATCCCAGCTAACCATATTCATGTGATCCGAAACGCTAATACTAACCCCTTTTTCATTTACTGATGATGAAAACGATGATTCTAACTCAAATATGCTGCTGATGTTTGAGTCACTGATCTGCTTGATGATTTCTACCAACCGATATTTGGTTCTCAATAGAGCCGTGACTAATTTCAGAGTAGAAAGCCTCCAACATAACTCATCCTTCACTTCATTCGAGCTATAGTCATCGGGTGCATAAGTAGCGGTTACAAAGGGACTGGTGAGTTTTATTGTTCCTTATAGTCCTTGTATAAGTCATCCCACAGTGGAGCAGCATATAGGTGACTGTCAACTTGGAACCAGCCAAACACTGCAGTTTCTACCTTACGACGTGAAGCTATATCTAGGCTTGGAAGACCGTGAGAAGCAGCCAATGAATAATCAGAAACTTTAAGGGTAAATTCTGCATATTCACCATTTTGGTCGGATAAAGCTAAGTGAATTACCCCCCTTGGGTTCCTGTGTGCATATCTCACAGACACATCACACGTCGTCGAACTGAAAGGCCAGAATTTCGGCTTACGAAGTTTGTTGGGAGATTTAATGGACTGCATAAACATTGGTAACTTCATTTTGTAGTTTTTGAGCGTGGTTTCATGAAACCAGAGATGCTGTTTCGTGAACTATAAATGTTATCAAGGGTTGTGGAGCTGGGAGATATCGAGGATGATGTGAGAATATTGACCGGTAGATGTGAGGAAAGATTAGAAAGCCAAGATATTGAAGGTTGATAATGATGTGCAGGAAGTTGAGTGCAGTTGGAGTTGTGAGGGCGGTTGATACTTATGGACTGCGCACATCATGAAACAAAGCATCTTGTTGAGGTGTATGTCAACTACATGTTACAATAAATCCGTGTTTTTCTTTAGTTTCTAGTATGAATTCATATATTAGGTTTTTCTCTTCCCCTTCCTAATACTCACATATTTTTTGCATGTTTGATAGATGTCTAAAGTTCCCAGCAATACTTGTCACTTCGAAAAAGTCCAAACGCGATAAAACTCACTCATCTGAAAGCCGTTCTTGTCCACAGTCTATGCTTATCGACGGTGAAGATGACCACGAAAATTTCGAAGTTGGCGGTTGTGCACATAATGGAAATACTTCTGCAAAAACTAACGATAAACTTAAGGATGATTTGGTTACATTCAAAAATTATTTGAACTTTTCTCGTTCAGTTTCCTCTATCCTAGCACATCAGGTGAGTTAGGGATGTTGTATAGGTGTTGTATACAGTAACTGTATATTTGTCGGCTACACTAGCAAGCAGTTCTTGGGTAATATAAAGTAGCTGAAATTGGGAAATAGTGAACTTCGGACTACCGGAAACTGTTGGTCATTTGTATGTATATTAAGTTTCTAGATAGTGTGCTAATGGTTTATATCACCTCCACATCGGCTGAGTTTTGAACAACCATGTGACACATACCTACCTACCTACCTACCTACCTACCTACCTACCTACCTACCTACCTACCTACCTACCTACCTACCTACCTACCTACCTACCTACCTACCTACCTACCTACCTACCTACCTACCTACCTACCTACCTACCTACCTACCTACCTACCTACCTACCTACCTACCTACCTACCTACCTACCTACCTACCTACCTACCTACCTACCTACCTACCTACCTACCTACCTACCTACCTACCTACCTACCTACCTACCTACCTACCTACCTACCTGGATTGGCAAGAGAAGTCCTTACTAGGCAGCCGGAGTGAGAACGATCAAGCGATAGTAACGCATCACAAATTCACTTGGTACTCAGACAGTCAATTCTCGTAGTTCAATAGGTAGAGCAACGAGCCGGAAACCCGTTGGTAGCTGGTTCGAATCCGGTCGCGATCCAAATTTTCATTTCACATTCAATCATCACGCAGGATATTTAGACGTTTTTCTCGATTTTCCATCATGTCCGAAAGTGCCTACCATATAGGGTATTTCTTCGACTTCTTGTAAACACTTAAAGCAGTTACCATTGAAATCAGAGCTGTGTACAGAATTTTTTCCAAACACACCTCCTTGGCCCTGTGATAATGTGATGTAATGATCTCGAACTTCAGTTATTTTAATCTGTATATAACAGTCACATTTTATTTGTTTGTAAACTATAGCTTCTCATCGTTAGTATTATTTAGGGTTTCATGGAAAACCACGTGGTCCACTCAATGAACTTGTCAGTTGATAAAGGAAAAAGGTCTCGAATAATAATACGGTCGGTGGAAGCGGACTGATGAATAAAGTAGGACCTTATGTAGATACTACAGTTCATTCAGAGCAGCCCAACCAGTTAGAATTCAGCGAAGATAAGAGTAATTATAGCGAAGAATTATATCAGTTTCAGTTGCCTTTCGGGTTAACTGCTTTTTTACGCTACTCAGACTAACTGTTAAAGACGTTGATAGTTCCTCTTGGCTAAACGTACCCGAGAGTCGCTTTAGGTCAGAAGACTATCTTGTATTGCCATGATAATAAGTTCTACATCTAATAACGACTATTAAATACTATAATAACAGGCCCATATCCAAGGTTGTATAACAGCGAGACACGTGATCTTCAGTCAACAGTGAATAAAATGACAAGTTCAGCTTGACTAGCGATCGACTCATTATACCGACCAGTCAGATAACAGTAAATATCCAGACGTTAACAGATAGGCAATCGTAGCAAACGGAGGCAAAACATAATAATTGTAATTTACTCATGGCAAGTTGTTAGTTGAATAGCACTGAATAAATGTTACAATTACCCTTAGCTTTTCCCGAAGTGATCGTATTCAAGTTGATAAAGCATGTTATGGTAGGCAGTTGTCGAATAGCTCGAAGTGTTTTGTTAGTAGGTGAGAATTACAACATAACAGTAGTTTATTTCAACTTATATGCTCCACATTTACCCCTTGTGAGTCTTATCCTTCAAGAGCTGAGAAAGAGAACGTTTTTTGTTTTCACTTTCCAATGATGTTAATTTCCCAAAACCACAACCACTCATACACTCCTATTCAATTCTCTTCGTATTTATTCTGTTTCAGGTATTGGCTATTAATAGAGCTAGTGAAAGAGGCGTTATTACAGTGAAAGTTAATTTGTCATCACAAGTGCAACAACAATGTGGAACATTTGTATCTCAAAAGTATTTTTCTGCAGTTAATCGCATTCACTGGGATTATGTTATGTTGGCTTTTAATGATGCGTGGAAACGTCTTATTGATCCACACTTAGTGCGTAGTATTCGGTAAGATAGTGTACAGTTGCCTTCTTGATGTGCTGGGCCCGTTTTTTTAATCGTCATTGTAGCTATTTTGAGAGCTTTGAATATTTACTTTTTCGTACTATGTTGAACAACTCCATTTAACATGTGCTAAGCCTTTTTGGATGCCAGTGAATTCTGATTATTTTTGTTGTGCGGACATAACGATCACGCTGCAATAATAAATCGTATTCATCCAGCGAAATATGGTTCGTCTAACTCAATAGCTTATTGGGTAGGGAATGGAGAGATGAGAACAAACAGTAAGTCACATAGTTTATCCTAATCTTGGTAAGAAAGCAAAGTTTCCCTAGGTAGGCGTAGTGTAAGAGCGAATAGTTTTTCTACACATTAAGGTGGTGTTAATTTGTGTACAGCTATCGTTTCCGCAAATCTTAGTATTCGTCCGTGACTGTTTCTACACAAAACTTTGAAAGCTGTTTGAACATTAATTTCGTGACCTGTTTCTGTAATATGTTTAGCTATAGATAAAGGTTGTCTTCTCCTATGTGGACTTATCAAGGTTTTACACTCCATTTGTTATTGAAGTCATTTAAGTACATATTCTTCCACCGTTAAGCGTATGACTCGATCACTCCCCTTTGTATCTGTGACCACACAGATGTAAACTAGTAAACTCAACGGGATGTGACATAATCATTGATGCAGTGTTTAGGTTTGTGGTGAAACATGTGTTCTGTTTTTCCCACAATGATAAGCTGCGCATTACGCATGATATGCCTACGTATCGAGTATATACTGTCCAACTTCCCTCTGTATAATAGAGTGATATGGGCGCTTTTCTTAGGAACTGTGCATAGAGTTGGCCTCGGTGGTACCTGACTTCTACAACGGCTTATAAACTTCAATGGATATCCGTTTTCCATAAGTATTTCAGTAATTAATTTGATATCTTTGTATCTGTATATCAGATACGATGGATTCTGTTGAACAGACATTTTACTGGACCTCATTTATATTAGATCGGACAAAAACTAAAAATTCAGATACTGTCCTGTCTATGTAGGGTTTCTGTAAATTGACCGTCCTATTGAAGCATCTTCCCGTCGACTCGGAAGTGCGTCCAAGAATAGCCGATGATCATTATTCTCTTTCTCACAAGTAAGGATGATATGAGTTTGTACGGTGTTAAGTCTTTATAACAGATTAACCGCATCCTTATGCTTCTTATCAATCACTATGATATCATCGATATATCTTTTGCAAAGAGAAACCTTAAGGATAAGATCACCAGTCAGATTTTCGATATATGACACATAAATATCATCTAGTATTGATCCTAAGGGATTACCTTTAGCTACATCGTCAACTTGTCAAAAGGGTTCACCCTCAAATGTGAAATGAACTTTGTCGGTACACAGCAATAATAATTCCCTCAGAAAAGTTGAAGTAATACGGAATGGGAGGTTTCTAGAAGATATGTAGTCACAGCGAATGTTGATAGTCTTGGACAACAGAACGTTAGTGAATGAAGAATTTACATCGAACGAATATATAGTCTTGTTTTTGATATTCGTGTTACTAAGACGGTCAACCAGGTGGGAAGTATCTTTCAATGAAAACTAAAAGAATTCGCTTCGAACTGGATTTCACATGATGAGTGAAACTATCACCGAAAAGGAGGATACCCTAACAACCTCCTAGGACATGTGGGTTTGACGTTGGGCAGAACACTTTGAAGTTCTACTGGCCCTCAGCAACACTTCAGTTGCCCAACATCCAATCTGAACCTGAATGGGACTTATATGTCTGTCCGTAGGTATCTAACAGAAATTAAATGCAATGCCATCAGACTGATGTACTTCATTAATCATCATAATGTATAAGAAAGGGGAGAAATCTTGTGAAAACCATAGGGGAATTACTTTCACTAATATTCTGTCCGAAGTCCTTAGCTCCATAGTTATCGGATGCCTGTCTGGAGGTAAAGAACAGCAATTTCGAGAAAACAAGGCAGTCACAGACCGGTACGAGGTTGCATCGACCATATTTTTACCCTCCAACAGGTTCTGGAACAAAGTTATACCTACTGGCCAATGGCCTATACTTCCCATATTCCTTGACGTGAAGGCGGCATTCGACTCAATCAACGTGGGGTGTCGTTGCGGTGTCTAACTGTCAAGTGAGTACCGAGCAAGTATATAACGCTAACCAAAGCTCTACTCGAAATAACCCAGCCGTGTCATGGTTTCTAGACAATTGTCATGTGAATTAACGACAACTAGTGATGTACATCATGTATGCCCATTGTCTCCGTTCTTATTTCACCTCATTATGTGCCCACTAACCTAAGGTTCGTTTGACTTCACATAGATTGGCCTACTCGCAGGAGCCTGGAGGTAATTTTGTTGACTTGGAATATGCAGACGATATTGTCCACCTACGTAAAGACACCGATAGAATACAGGGTCTTCTAGACGCGTTGAGTAGAAATGTGAATATGTTTGGCATGCGTTTCGCTGTCCCATGGCTGGTCTGCTGCAAGTAAACTCAGTTTAACCATAGTGAGTGAAGTGGTGGAATGTGCCAACCACATCATTTACTTGGGGAGTTGCACCAGCCCCAACCGAGTGGTTTGATGACAAAATCTCGGCTCGGATACAGAAGGCCAGTGTGGCATTTGCAAACTTGCGTCATCTATGGCACCGGTGAGATGTCTGACTATCTGTTTACCAAAGAAGAGAACCTGTATACTGACTGTCCCACAGTCCGTTATGTCCTGTTGCATGACTGTGAAACGTGGCTGTCAAAAGTAGAAGACATGAAGCGGTTGCGGGGTTTCGACCATAGATGTCTTGGTAACATTGCTCAGATTTGGTAGAATCACCGTATGAGCAATGTTGAAGTCAGGCGAAGGGTACTAGGCAAGAAAGGCCGGCAAGTCGATTGATGAGGCTGTGAGCCTTAGTTGACGGAGATGGCTTGGACATGCCGAGCCACTGCCTACCTCGACATGCCGTGCTAGAGGAAGTTGGATTAGGTTGGGAGAGGGTTGAGGGTGGCCAGACGAAGACGTGGTACCAGTGAATGAAGTCTCTGACTGTTGATGTGAGTCATGTGGGGCGATGTAGACTGCCTGTTTGGGGTGGTCGAGATGAAAGGAATCAGTGGTTGATGACTTTTGGTGACATGGCTGAAAGTCGGTGACAGTGGCGCAGATGTGTTCACTTACTGACGTCTTCTGAAGCTTGAATATTCGTACTGATGGTCATTTTCGGGATGTTTGTTGTCCCACACAAGTTTTGTTTACTTTTATATCACTCTTTATCTATGTACCTGTTCTTTGTGTACTATTGTGAAGTGTGGCAACTTGAGGTGATGCACTTGTGTGCGAGATTCTTATTTGTTTTTGTTTTTTTTCAGTCCATGATTATGATGGCATTGTTTAGAAAACGAGTTGTAGTACTGTTGATAATGATGGCAATCGTCATTTGCGAGTTTTACTTGAGCAGTTTAGTAATTATTGCCTTGTGAATGAGCGTAAAGCTGTACTTTAGTTTGTTGTAATAATATCTGATTCACATTTATTGATTTTCAATTTGGTACCAGCGAGTGCAGTAACTAAATAATTGCCTAACTTGTCTCATGTCTATCAATGTGTTTAAGCTGTCTACACTTCGTTAAGTGACAGGATGTTTGAACTTGTTAAGAACCAGGTGAAAATCAAGTACCTTGATTTACTTGATTCTGTACGTCAGGAATCAGTTCACACAAATACTACTATGAAATGTTGCTGGGTATTTTTTCTCCTCTGAATACCGCTAAACTGTACTCAGAATTATGTGGATATAAGCTTTTTGCTGATGGCTCTTAATCTCCCCATAAGATGTAATAAATAGAATGTAATTGTACGTTTATCCTACTTACGTTGAAGTAGATAGTTCCACTGCTTCAATGTCGTGTGGTTATCAGGACCAGTAGAAGTGTACGAAGTTGTGAGGATTGTGTATAGTGTCGATTATTCAGTGAGTGATTGAGTTAATATTCTGTGTAGAGAAAATGATGTGATCAAAGCAGAAGTAATGATGCTCTGGAGTTGATAAAAGTAACTTCATAGATTGTATAGGCTTGATGAAACGTTTAGAGATTTATTTTCAGTTTGGTTAGTAAGACAACCTGAACTTTGACAAGAAGAATAGGTTTGGAAGTGGATAAGAAAATTTAATAAAAACATGCAAACGGAGACACGAAATGATAAATTTACGCGGCTATTAATCCATTTACTTTTTAACATTAGGATTAGAAAGTCAGTGCGAAGTTGGATACTATATTTTTTTGAATGCTTGCTTCAAAATGGAGAAAACCGCTAATTGACAAATATGTGTGACTCATTCGTTTTAGCACTCAATTTTCAATTGGTGATTCGTGGGGATTGATTTATCCCATAGGCGTATTTACGGCGGACTGATATTAGTTGGAAAATGATTAAATTCCTGGGAGCACTAGCAAGTTCTAGCCAAATGTAGTGGATGGTGTTCGGTTTATATATCGCAAACTGTCAGAGGTAGGAAAATTTGTAGGATTGGATTCGAACGCGGTGATTGAATGATGATGTACTCGTCGTTAAACCTGACTGTAAAGCGTCCCCCCCCCTTTCGACCAGTCATGAATGGTCACCTCTAAGGTGCCACGAAGTAGGACAAGAAGTGTCTGTGCTCCCAGGTTTTCACTTTTAGTCCAAGGTGAATACTACATTAAACCCAATTTTCAAACAATGGGTCCTGGTTTTTAGCGTCTCTCCATCTACTTCAGTCAAGGCAGCTGGATAATAAGCCCTCATACATTAAATATATCTCATAATGAGAATTATAGTGGTTGTTAGTTGGTGTGATGTCTTTTCACGGACTTAGGTCCGGTGTAACTGGTTAAGCTTAAGCTTTTTGATATCAGCAGCTTCGGGTGAGTATAGGTTTGATTTCATTTTCTTGTCTTGTCAGTTGAATGATTGTAGAACTGAGTCATTGGTAATATTATAATTATTATTTGTCCCTTGGGTTCCTAGTGGAACGTAGAGCTTCAGTTGCACATCTCCATTGCACTCTGTTCTCTGCAGTCTTTTGAACCTGGCGCCACCACTGCCCACAAGCTTTCATTTCCTCCTCACATGATCTCCTCCATATCACCCTCGGCTGGGACGCCCAACTAGTCGTTTCGCCTTTGGATTCCACTCGAGGACCTAGCCTGGCGCGTTATGTCCCCAATCGGCCTTCTCAGTGTATACCTAATCCAATCCATCTCCACTTTCTTGTGCATATTTGTTGGGTGATAGGTTCTTGGTTGGTTCGTTCCCAGGCCAGAGTTTCTTGTTGCTTATTCTTTCTGGTCATCTAATCTCCATCTTCAGTATGGAGTGAGCATAGGTTGTAGCTGTTGATGAATGTCTGTAGTTTGTTGGAAATGCTTTTCGTGACGCGCCAATTTTCTGAACCAGCACATAGCAGCACTAACTTGACGTTGGTGTTGAAAATCCGGATCTTGTTCTTTATGCTGGTTGCAGTGGATCTCCACGCTGATTTCACATTAATGAAGGTCTGTCTTGCTGTCTTTTCGATCCTGGCTTTGACGTCCTCATCTGTGCCACCTGTATTTAAGACGATACTGCCTAGGTAGGTGAAAGAGACTACTTCCTTTAGGCTTCTCCCGTTAATGGTGATTGGTACTTGTTGTTGACGCTGTTGTTGGTTGGGTATCTTCGTTCACTTAAAGTCCCGTTTTCTCTGCCTCTTCTGTCAACTTTTTGGTTTTTGCTTGTAGATCTTCGAGTTTGTGCGATATTAGACACAAATCATCGGCGAAATCCAAATCTTCTAGGCTCTTTTCATCGGTCAAGCCAGCGTATGTCCATCTTCTCGCTCCTCACAGTTTGTTGCATGATCCAGTCTAGTCAACCACAATCAGGAAGATGATGAGTGATAGTAGACAGCCTTGTCTTACTCTGTCTTCGAGTTATTGGTATAAGTATTTTATTTTCAAACAGCGATGTACTCCACTTACCAATGTCTGAATAGTCAGTTAGTATTCGTCACTACTGCTCATTCACTGCGTGTGGCTTCTTATCTAGTGCACAAACCTGTAAGTAGTTGTTGAGCTGGATAAAAATCAGTCAAATGTTTAATGATTTAGCTGTGTCGATATAAGAATCCTTATCATTTGGGTCTAGCATTGGAACTGACTGATTTGTATTTGTTTTAATCACTCGTTTTGATGCAAAGATAGTGATATTATATTAGCTGTTGATTAGAATGGGTGGTTCTTGCGAACCAGAATGTCGATTAAAGTAGTTTACAAATGTTTATGACAAGGCTTAATTTACCATGTTTCCTTTTTGATTAACAACAGAGCTAAACTAACAACTTCAGCGCAAGATGCATCACTTGAAGTGTTTACAGAGAATCTTCGGCGTCTGTTGATGACTGCTCCGCTACGTAATTCCACTTCATTTGGCGAATCAACGGTAAAAGATGAATGTGACACAGGAATGATTTCTTCAGCATCTGGTGCACCTGGTGATCGTCTTCCCGTTGTCGGATTGGATCCAGGTTGGCGGAATGGATGTAAATGGGCTGCCTGTGATCCACATGGAAATGTATTAGCCACAGGTATCTTATGGCCACCTCATACTCAGTCTGCTATTCCATCGAAGAGGTTGAAAGCGTGTGATGGACCATTAACTAATAATGGTTTAGGCGCATTAACAGCAGTTATGCAACGCCACCAGTAAGGATTATTCCTGTTACCTTTCTTTTTCTTTCCAGCTTTCGCATCACAATATACAACATAAATATATAGTGAATTTCTTTCCAAGAGATTCGGAACCAAGTCATTCTCCAACAATAAACCCAACGGTCGAGTTTGGCGTAAAATCACTGACACAGGATTTGTCTGAAATACTGTTCTTTATAAATAAACAATAATGAATGATAAATTAGAAACCTCGAATCGTGAGGAATCTGTGGGTTTATGGCTATCAAAGCATTTTACAGAGAATGCGCCAAGAGCACAAGAGCAAGGCTGTGTAAAGCAATTGTTCAAGGTGAACAACAACAACAACAGGGATCCCAACACCGTCATGAACCACTAAGGGTACTCATATCTAGAGATATTAAATGATGGACCAGATACAATTGAATAGGATGAACAGTGAACTCGTGGGCGAAGCAACACTAAATGGAATAGACGAGTTATACTACTCAATAGTACTAAGTAGTATGAACCAGAAGGGAAACAAGGGTGACATCACATGTGGTTAAAGAGAACAAGTGAGAAAGGAGTTGACATATGTATGTATATTAGCATTCGATTAATTTTGAGACTATTTATTGTCGGTTAGAGTTTGAGTCAGGTTCGTAACTCTAGCATGCAAATCCATTCACTTATATTGACTTCCTTTACATTGCAACTTTATCAAAGTTGGTTGACATTCGTATTGTGTGTGATACGTGGGAATCACGTATTATTCGTTTATCCCTGTTTCTGAGTGACTTTGAGACCACTTTATTGGATTTGGTTACTTCAGTCAATGTTGTCAGCATATATGGTAAGTGAATGATCTCTTTGGAATCCACCTGACTGTCAACCGTTAATATGCGGAAAACCATTTAACTTTGATTACGATTTGTTCTGAAATTCGATGGGATTTTTCGCAGTCTGCCTGTTATTATTCTTTAAGCTGTTACTGTAAAACAGGTTCTGTAACTTCAACGGTATACTTGCATACAAGTAGCCTTTTTTTAACTCTACAGGTGGTTGGGAAAGGTTGCTGTTTTTTCAATTGTTAAGTCACCCTCTATCTTTCCGGTTTATTTATACTTTCATAATATCATTCCCGAAGTAGATGGTTAGAGACTAGGTAAATGAGTCTAAATGAATCTTATTCAACATTACCATGTGTTATCTCTTTGTCTGAAGACCTTTTACGATTTATAATATCGTTAATTTAATTTCTTTATCTACTTTTAAAGCTTTGTTTTGGTGTCGGATGTAACTTTAGGCAGTTCAGAGCGTTTCCCACTAACACCAGGTCGTGTGTTAGTTCTGTTGTGCTTAGTTTTTTTCGAATGGGTAGTGTTAATTGTTGACTTTGTTGTAGAGAAATGATCTTTATTTAAGGAAAAGAAGATAGACTGGTTCTCTGATTTTTGGGGAAAGGTATACACACACTATTTCAATATACTATAGTACTTCAGACTTCAAGTACTTTTTGAATTGTCATTTATCACCTCTTTACATATTAATTGATGCACTTCTGAGTAGAATGTAAGTTACTAGTCTGAACGGTTCATTTATATGGTATCTGTCTGCGGTTTCAAACAGAGCAGACACATACAGAGACACACTAGAGATTTCAAATTTAATGAATGTTGGAATCAAACTTTACTTACGATTGTCACCTATTGGAAAAGTCACTTGTAGCAATCTATTGTTTATCACCGTTGAAACATTTAACTCCGAATGCCTCATTCCATACATCCTAGTAACCGTTGGTAAGTTGACTGGAGCCTCTTGTTCGTGAAGTCGTAGTATCATACTGCTGAGAGGAATTTGATAGCCTAGGCTTTATTTCATCTTACGACTGAATAGACAGATTTGGGTTACTGAATCATATCTATTCTTTACATAGAATGCAATCCTGGCTTCTCTGTGTACAATGTCAATTCACTTCAGACGATTGCCACTTTTTGTATTACTGTGGCTTAGATATGAAGCACAATACTAACTGAAGTAGGCTTAGGCTGGGAAGAAGTAAGAGGTGACCAGAATAAAACGTGGCAGCATTCTGTGTGTTGGTGTAATCCGTGTAGAGGAAGATAGACTTCCCGGTTGGGATCCTCGTGACAACAGAAACCAATGATAAGATACTGTAGGTAATATCGCTCAGAGTCGATCTGAGTGGCACAGGTGAATCCATACCATTATCTTCATTTCCCTAGTCATACTGAATTCAGCATTTTCTTATTCCTCCTTACTCTCTTGATGAATTTCTACCACTTTGATTGCTTTCTTATATTTATATTTTTGTCTTTCACCTTAGTGTATTTTCGCTTGATGTGCTGGTATGTGGTGTGCCAACTTGGATTGTTACACAGGAATATCAGGTCTTATATTGTTGATTCTGTATGTTTGTCTAGCCAACTTGGATACTCAGATTTCAACTAACAGGTCATGGTTTCAAATATTATTTCACCCAAAATCCTGACGCCCCACCAGCGGTGGCACATTGAATGCGGTTCATCTGGGTGCATACAGTTTATCTGTTGTCTTTCATTTAGAAATGGGTTTAGAAGCATAGATCTTACTCCACTCCTCACTTGATTCATCTTGAATGGGATTTGGTTGTGTTGACAGTTTACTGGTTATGCCCTGACTTCCAGAGTACACTGCATTCTGTAATTTGGTGATAGCATAACTGGGCTGTACATCATGCTGATTATTTGTTATTCATAGTGTTCGTTAGGAGGCATGTCAACCTGAAGGAATTTAACTCACAGAAGCATATCGTTGAAATCAACTAAATGTGACTAGCATAATCCAGTGATTTTCAGGTGATCAGGAAAGGTGTTTTCTTGTTGCTCATGCTGTTCAGTAGTAGTTTCTGACAACTGTATCCGAGGCAACAATCAGTAATGGAGTAGCATGATGGTTTCCAACGGGAACAATGTTGACGAAGATGTTAGGTAGTGGGGAATTTCTGTGTCAAATATTCAGTTCAGTAATCTCATTTATGGATGGTAATGACTTTTTTCATACTTTCTACGGTTTTTTCAGAATTGAGACTGTAGCTCTTGGCAATGGTCAAGGTAGTCGACAAACTGGTTGTTGGTTGGCACATTTGATTCAAATTGAACACTTTAAACCACTTAACATCCGCTATGCTGTTGTCAGTGAATCTGGCGCCTCATACTACAGTGCATCAAAAATGGCGTGTACAGAACTACCAGATTTGGATGTTAGTTTCAGAGGTGCTGTTTCTATCGCTAGACGCCTACAGGATCCTTTAGCCGAGTTGGTAAAACTTGAACCGAAGCATCTAGGTGTTGGTATGTATCAGCATGATATACCTGAACGCCGACTGGTTGCAGCAGTCAATGATGTGATGGAAGAGTGTATTAGTTTTGTAGGTGTTGATTTGAACGCAGCTCCATTACATATTTTATCTCGTGTAGCTGGTTTGTCTGAGGCGAGAGCAAAATCAATTTTGGCGTATCGCGCTCAAATTGGACCTTTTCGATGCAGAGCAGATCTTCTCAAAGTGAGTTTATACATATATTCGGAATTATTCAATCTGTAAGGACTATTATGATAAGCTGTTAGGCTAAGCTAACTACGGGTTTTGGTAGCTAGCAGCTACCAGTGTGAAAAGATTATCTCTAAATTTATTCAGGTTTGGAGATGAATCCCATGATTTATTTGGGAATACGGTGTCTCATTGACTGTGTACTTGTCATGTGAATAGAGGATTGGTGTCTTGCACCTTGAAGAAGACCGAAATTGTCTCACTGAAAAATCTTGTGTTGAGATGAAGCACCCCAATTCTTGGTTTTTAATTGTTATCATAAAGAGATGCTTTTATCGACTGACCATTTTTTCTGCGACACCATTACTAGTTAAGTCACATTCTTTTCAGGAAACACAGTATAGTATTGAATTGTGGATAAGATTTCACTAAGTGACTAATGAGAGTAGTTTGTTGCTAAAATTGTTGCTTACCTTTTTTCTTCATCCAGGTCAAAGGTATTGGGCAGGCTACGTATGCTCAGTGTGCTGGTTTTGTCCGAGTAAAACCCACCTACTCAGCAGTCACTTTGGATGGGACCAAGTAAGTTTATTTTATCAAATCTTTTTAACAACAGTATACGACAGTGCATCTAAGATATGCATTTTGGTATGCTGTAGACGAAGTAGAAAGGTCATTGGTGATGTACATACATCCAAATGCGTGTCTGTTGATTGCAAATGAAATCTGTTATCCGTTGTTTTACTGAATGCACGTTTCTCGTTTGTAAATGTTGTGGAACCAATAAGTTCTGCTGGCCTCATGTTGTATTTTTATGTTACCGTTTTACATAAACCTTATCACATGGTTATTTATTTGCACTTACAATTTCTCTTTGTTTATTTTACAAGACCGAATTGATCAGTTTTTTTTGGTATCCATATATAAAAGAGAGCGATCAACTTGGTGTCTAATAGGATAAACAACGGCATATTAAAAGTATGAGTAGGTGATGAGTGATACATTTTGCACAAGAGATGGCTGTTGTAAACTCACTGTCATAGTGAGTAACTCTTTGATGTTTAAAGCTGAGTGTGCTGGGTCTAACGGACTCACTGGAATGCTGGTGTATCCTCAATACAAGGTAACGCTAAACACCATTAAACAAATAATTGTCATATTGGGATCCCCACAACTATGTATCTTCCAGACAAGTTATCTCTGTTCAAGTGAATTCAGGTAGTGAGTATCTGGATGATCTGAAGCACATTTTTGATCATTACTGTAAGACCCGTTTGAAATCCCCTCCGTTAAGAATATACAAGTAGTGAAGGTATCGTGATAAAGTGGCAGTTATTTATTTTATGAAGCAAATGTTTACAACTGTCGAGGATGTGTAGGGTAAAAAGCAAAGGACATGGACCGATCCTGTGATAAATATCATTTAGTGCTATGTCTTTAACTAGATTTGTTTGTCATCATAACTCAGTACTTCTGAATCCCAAAGCACAGTTATTCTTCCCCTTCTTGTTATTCTCATGTTTGTCTTTTGTAGTTAATTTCATGTACACACCGTTGTTGTACTATGCATTATTATCATTTTAGTGAAGTCAACTATTGCTATTCTCTTGTGATAATCGTGTTTTCCTATTGTTGTTGATGTAATTCTAAGCTGTTTCTAATTGTTAATTGAATGAAAGTGAACTGGAGTCTTTTTGATGTTCAGTATCTATTGGACAAGTTTTAGGCATTGTAACTATTTAATACTACTACATTTGAATGGGTCGGTAATAAGTTTTAGTTGTAGGTTGAAGGAGATATCGGTAGAATCATGATAATAAAAGTTACTAAATGAAACGTGGTCAGCAACCTTGTGCACCCACATTCGTGGAGTAGGCAATGAGCTACACCCATGTTATGAAAGCTACCTAGCTGTCCAAACCTTTGTTGGTGGAGCGGCGTTCGGAAATGGTGACTAGCTGGTTCAAAGGTAGGTAACTGTTTAATCCGGCGAGCCATAGGTCCACATTTTTAAAATTAATGCAACTTGAGTCTTGGATTTTCTTTTCACTGATCGTCACAATAAAGTCAGCACAATTGATCGCATTATCAAGGGGTTCCTACTGTGTATCTGTTTGCAAACTGTAGACAACTACATACTCATAAACTTCCTAACCATCAAGTTAAGTTTGTTTACGGCAGAGTAGTTGATTATGCTAAACTACATCATTCAGTTACTGGGCCAGTTGGTCGTTGCTGTTGTTGGTACTTGACTCTTATCGTCTTTAGTAGAGTACAGATTTGTTGTCGTCCACAGTCTTCTGGTTGGAGATTTGCTATTGACTGGAATTCTGTTGTGTGTTTATTTCTTTTCCATGTATATCTTTCAATTCAGGGATGTTGAAATGATTTCCATTTCTAGTGATGACTGTGATGATGAACTAGCTTGTGATGTCAAAATACTCGGTGTCACGTCTGTTTCTACTGGTGGTGTGAAGCGTAAACTTGCGGTGGATGAATCAAACGTTAAGCGTAAGAAGCCACGACTTAAAATACAAACCACTGATCAGTTTGATGTAAATTGTTTTAACCCACTGGACCAAACAGCTGTGCATCCTGATTCATATGAGGTTGGAACAAAGTAAGTTATGTTTTATTCACTGTTATACTGTTTTAATATAGGTTTGACTTTTTGTTTGCTGATGGTTAATAGGTATGTGGCGATTTATGCAAAGTGGTCTATGAGTCATGTGTGAGGGAACTGCATAGTTTATATGCCAAAACCATAGGTTTATGTGCTTGGTGTGACTCAGTGGTGTATAAATCGAACGCTTAATCAGTTGAATCGAACATCTGACGTTTTTGGTTGGAATGCCAATGTGATGGGTAGTCAAGTTTTCAAAATTGACTGTAAAATGGGTTTTCATAGTGGTAATTCAGTTGGGATTAGACCTCATTTTCACATTTGTATGTGAGATCTCTATAAATGATGTTGAATATGAGTTTACTATGATATAAGACAATTTAACTAGTTATTTATTACATTCAACTGATTGCATGTTATAGCAGTTGTGTTCAATATTTCATTAGCATGTCAGTTATATGAGATAAATAGTTATTGGAGGAGGCTTTCATATATCTTATTGAAGGGATGTGTATAAACGGTAAGATTTTCAAATGCCGTTATCTATACCATCTACCTTACTGTTGTGTAAATCGTGTGGATTCATTTTTCCCTTAGGCAGTAGATTTAACTAATGTTGCCATCGATATGTTGAGTTTTAAAGGTGGGAATAGACTGAAAAATGCCCACGATTTCAATGCGTCGCACTACATATCAAAAGAAATTAAGGTCTGACTAGCACAACCGGGTCTCGTGGCTTGGTTGGTAGACGATCGAGTCGTTAACCTGGAGGTTGGTGATTCGAATCCTGCTGTGGCCCAAACTTTCATTTCACCCCAGTCACCACCCAGTATCTATACGAATTTACCAAACCACAGCTGTCTGAGATAGTGAAACTGATAATGATATTTCAGTTATTTTGTCGGATTGCTTTCCTTTCATGCTACTGGGACCCTATACAAAAAGGATTGTGGAAATTATTTTGAAAGTCTAGTGTTTGCAAGTATTTTTGCTCACTGAGGAACAGGATATTAGGAACAGTCTTTATGAATTTTTGTTTAGACATTTGTTTGTAAGCTACTATATGAAAGTATTTATCTCTCTTCTCGTAAACATCATTTCTAGAAGAGTTTGATAAACACATAAATCTTTTTTGTTACTCGTCGTTGGTTAGTTTTCTGTTGACATGTAACTTTTTTGAAAGTCTTTGGAACTGAAGCCGAAGTAGTTGAATAATCTCCTGCATATTACCCAACCGATAGCTGCTATGTTGATGGTGTGTTCGGGGTTTCATATCGCAATGACGCAACAAGCCACACTAGTGATCCGTGTTTTCCCTTGTAGTCCTTCCATATATCGGAAAGGTTAGTTAGATAGTGATGAGGCGAGAAGGAGTTTCCTTTATAGTGTAAATCACAACACTATGATGAGGGTTTCAATTTCGAAGTGATATAGCTGGCTGAATGGTAGTGTGATGGGAGTAAAGTGTTTCCCGTGAATTATCAGTGGTACGGTATGGATGTTCCATTCTCTATGCGAAGGGGTGGGGATTAGGAAAGGTCCATCCCCCCAAAATAACACGCTGTCCCCTACCCCATGGTCTTCCGGTGCTGGGAGTATAGGTTTTCCAGCTGAACGCAGGTTAATCAAAGCCAAATCCAAAACGTTTAGAAAAGTTGTGCGCCCAACCTCAAGGCGACGGGCATCACCTATTGTGCGAGAGCTAACGGTACTACCACCTGGCTGTCCAAGCCTCGGGAGGTGGAGCGAGGCTCGAAACCGTGACTCGCTGGTTGGAAGTCATCTCCGTAAAACCAATGAACCACAGCTGCGCAGAACAAATTAATGAAGAGTACTGAAGAAACTTAAACCTTCAAATATACCTGAATACAATTGTGTCGTTGTGATTGATTTCCATCCATATCATAGAGTGTCCAAACAATGATTCCTATTATCTCGATAATTTCAGTCAGGTATTGCGTACCCACTTACACGATTCTGACGAGAAATGAAAGACTTCATGTACCGATGCTACGTCTTGGGCTGGCCAGCCTTGAGTTTGTTCGAACGCAGTCCTGTTTGGCGGCTTGGCATGCTCAGCACATATCCAGTGCAGTGACGGAGTAACAACGTGATCAGGGTCAAGCTTAACAATTCTGGACCATATCTCTCATGAGATCACACTGCTGATGAGTCCCAAAGTAGTACACGGCACCTATGTGATGCTTCTTTATTTTCAGTATTCATACAGCTGACGTTATTCATTGTCACAAGTTATTGAAAGTAATAAATTTGTCTCATTTGAGTTACAATATTTGATAAATAGATTTCAGCGTGATATCTGAAATGAGATTATGACAAGTTGAAACTACGTAATGACCATTGTAAAGAAATATGGATTATCAGAGAATGGGCAATAGCAACACGACTTTGAGTTTGGCAAGGTACGATAAATTAATGAGATATATATTATGTAGGAGATGGTTTGAATTAACGTGTATGTTGGGTGAGTGGTTTGTCCTGATACCAGAGGGTAGAGAAGCAGCGAATATAGCTGTTGTGAATGGTCGTGTCCCTTATTTTTCGTGCTTGCTTGTTGTATTTTTTGAATTTTTTTCATTCCTACCTTCTCCTACATGGGTTACGTTTGATATAACCTGCTAGTTGAATTTTGAGGGGTTTGCAGGGATTTAGAGATATTTCAAGTTGGTATTCATCGTAGACTACTACCATCAGTTGGAGGACAAAACAGCCATCCAGTGCTCCCAGTTTTCCATTGTTCCTCCAACTGATGTCAGTCTACGATGAATACCAACTTGACATAACCAGCTAGTGTTTTGATTGGCTATTACCTCTCTAGTTATCCTTTGTCTTACAAGGTCATGGTAATTCTCTTCATGAAGTATCAGTTTTTACTCATCCATGCCTTTATGTTTAGATAGTATATATTCAATTTAATACCAGTCCTCTGATTTCATGACATGAATCTTCCGGGGTTGTATTGTGTTAACCCCGGAACCCTTATTCATCAATTATTCTCGTTAGTGGTCTGACTAAGTTTAAGATGATTTTAGACAAACTCAGTGGGTGGTTGATGAAGTTATCCCATGCGCATTAATCAGCATGACTAACTAAAGGAGAGACTGAATGATAAACGAGAGATGACGTCAGTGGTCATTCATATTGTATTGAGATAGTGCTTGATTTATTAAATCAAAACTTTATTCACAATTCCAACCATATGGATAGGGTGTATGTGAATTGTGTGGTACCTATTGTACGAATCAGTGTAAGTGTTTCGGTTAGTCTTCGTGTATCTTTGTGGAACCCCAAACATGTAAGTACTTAATCATTATCTTATTGTGTGGTTGTGAGTGGTCGAATGTAGAGCTGTGGCGGGGTTGTTATTTGAAGTCTTTGTCTTACTTCGGTTTTGGTACTGAACTTCTCTGCTCTGATAACTCAATTGTTTATGATAAGCGACTTAGTTCCGTGTATCTAGTCTCAGAATTATTGCTTCGAATTCGTTAGACCAAGCTGTTCTGTCTTACTTGCTAACTACGATTGTGTTTTAGCCGACAAAGTTTGTCTTTAATTGTGTTTGTTGGGATATTATTAATTGTTTTGCGTTGGATTTTTAAAGCTTTCTCCTCACCAGATCGTAACACTGTAGATGTTTTGTGTTTTCCAATCCCTTTCCTTTGGCTTTTCAATAAGCCCACTTTACTTACTTATGAGACACTCAGAAGTCTAAGTGTTAGTTTAAATGTCGACATCATGTTTTGATGCAACTTTGTCAATTCATAACTGAATTGGCTTATGCTTATGACTGACTTCATGTACGTAAAAATTTATCATTCTGGTATGGTTTAATTGCCTTACCTTATCCACATATCTCTTTTATAATGTTAGAGATAAAGCTTAGATTGTTGATGAAATCCTGTCAACTTTATGTCTTTTTTGTCTACCGTGTTGCGTGACTAGCATGATTCACTTGACTTTTGACTTGTGTTAAGCGTTGAGTTAGTTTGCAACTGTCTATGTAATCATAATGTTCATCTTTCGTGCAACTGTTTCTTTCCCCTAACTGTAGTCTAAAGTATGAATAAAGGTGATATTTGTTTAACTAAGCAGCACGTATATCGGTGTAGAATTATTGTAATGTCAACTTGTTTTTCTTACTTCAATTTCAGAATAATATCTTTACTTGGATTCCGTTTGACAGATGTTGGATCAGCAAGCCTTAGAGCAGCTGCAACTCAGTTTATGCTTAGTGCAGACAGTAAGTTGCATGTCCTTTCATTACTTTTGCTTAATAACTTATATCACTATGTAACAGGTTTCTGATCATGCGTGTCTTTTTTAGGATTGCTTGGGTGAGACAAATTGAGTGAAGTAATAAATGGTAAAGGCATTTTGGAAGATGAAGTTGTGAACCTGCACCGACTGAGTTTGCTTGAACCACGTAATGCATCTACCCCTATGGGCGATGTTGGATGAAGTTGGAGGATCGTGTTGAACGTAAGTGGAGGGTGGCCAGACCAAGACACGACATCGACTGTTGGTGTTATCAGGGTAAAGAGTTGGGGACTATCTGACTAGAGTCTATCAGATGATAGAAACCAGTGGTTAAAAACGCAAATATGTACCATGTTTGTTATCTTGAGAATGCTGAACATTTTGTTAGCCGTCACTTAACAAAATACGTCTAGCAAAGAGTCACTCCTAGAATTCAGTATGACGGTCAGTATGTAAATAATGTGTGGATCCTCCATCGCTACTGGGTCTACTCGAGACCAAGTCAGATAGTATCCGACAAAAAACTTTAGTTGTAACACTGACATTCCCCTACACAGTTCAGACCAATATTCGACGACTTCCTGAACTGACACCATATTTTAGTGTCGCCACACCTAACTAGTTTTTAAGTCTTAAGATGCTTCAACTAACATTGTTTGTTGCGGCAAACGATGACTAAGTATGCGTAACACGTACCAGCCATCTGAGTTTATGAAGGTTTACCACCTCATCGACTGACTTTTCTATCCAAACCTGTACGCCTGACTTCTACGTTAATGACGTACTTGTAGCACAACATACGATCTATGCTACGATAGTGACGGTGGTTGATCACCTGAAACCTTCTCCAGTCCCTCTACCTTTAATGGCGGTATATTACTACACTCGGCGTTTAATAAGTATTTGGATATGATGGTGGTGCTATGAATAACGCAATTTTGATAAAAACCAGGCGAGACTTTCGTACTCGAGCAGAAATTCCGTAGGTTACTGACCCACTGGGGCTGATTTGAGTTTTCAAATGAGTGAAGTGGTCAGTGTGCTCAACTGCTTTAGTCCCTAGTATTAGACTGGGTACCATCGGAGACCAGTTGTGGAGCAACGATTTGGATTGTGGTGAGGATAAACAAATCTCAAACATTCTCAGTGTCCAGGGGACTGTACATCTTGTCATTGTCTTCACCTAGCAGAACAATGTCATCCACATACTGTGTTTCTACTAAGCAGTTTCCTGTGAAAAGAGCAATCCCTGTAAAGTCGGACGACTACTTCGAGCCGTGGCTGATTGGTTTAGAGAGTTAACTTTCAACCAATGGGTCGCGGATTTGAACATCGCCCCACCTACAGAGTTTTGGTCAGCCGGGAGGTAGTATCATTAGTCGTGGGTCACTTTCTACTGCACGAATGTGCACAAGGTTGCTGACTAGATTTGGATTCAATTTTTGCTGTGATAAAATTGAATCGGAATGTAGAGAGTGTAGACCCTTGACAGAGACTATCTGATGTACACAACTCAGCATAGACTGCAACATGTCCACGAGTGTTCGAGTACAGAACATTCAACAGAGTAATGTATTTACTCTCCATCCATTTCAGTGAGAGACTTTACTTTAAGACCTATTGATCGAAGTTTTCAAATGTCACTTTCAGCTCGAGAAGTACATCTAGTTTTGGGCTTCGATAAGTGTGCCTGTATTTTCAAACCTCGCGAAGGATGAGTATCTAGTGGATGCACCCGAGATCAGGTGTGAAACTTACCTGGTTTTCTCGGGTTTAACATTCCTGAACTTCACTTGAGCGTCTAATGATTGCAGAATCTAAAATCTTGAACCCAATGCTCGTCAGTCTGGTTCTCCCCAAGGTTTTTACAAAAGGATTTCTCTCCTTTCTTGAAGATTGGAACAATCGGTGATTGAAATCGATCAGAGGTGGTCATTTCTGATTTTTACAAGTTATTTATCCTTCCGGTTAACCACATAAACAATCCACGTCTAGATACCTCCAGTACGAGTGCCCCTGGCCCTACTGCTCTTTGCGTTTCAAGTTACTTATAACGTTTTTGACTATATTGTCATTAACTATTAACCTTTTTGCATCACTATCCTTGACAAGTTTAAATAATTGTCTGCTGCTATCTGTCATTGCTGTCTTTTCAATCTCTTTAGCCTTCACTACCCATCACTACTTGTGGTCATTGTAAAGACTTCTTGTCAGTTTGCAATTCAGTCGCTTTCGCAGATTATTGTGCTCGGAGCCTACAGGGATGCATTCATATGCATCCACTAGTTAAGACGAAGCTGTTGAGATCTACTACTTTCCGTACACTTTCTGAGAGTTAGTTAGCCTTGTGTGTACAACAGACTGGAGATGACCTCAACCTTTTTTTCGGTTGATTGATGTAGTTCTGTCCTGAAAACTTCCTAAGCAGTTTCCCACTGAAAGTAGCCTTCGTATTCTCTTCAGGGAGGTGCGCTTGGAATGTTTATTGGTCTACTTTTTCTGCGTCCACTTAAGTACAGACATGCGGGTACTCGAGCCCTTGCGTTGTCATTCTCCGGACGTGTGCTGCAGAAAGAATGGCAATCCTCCACCCACCATCTCTATAGATAACTGACGTCCATATGGTGTATTGGTGTCCACCGTTGAGTTTGGGTACATGGATGCCAAGTTAGGCAGTGTCTCCCTTTCCCTAAGATATCTTCTGGTTGGAAATAGACGTTTATCTGAACACACTTGTAGCAGGCTATCGTCGTTATCTGTTCATCCGGCTGGGATTCCAAAAGTACCACTTCAGTACCTTTCTGACTGATTTAGCCCACCAACTTGTGTATTGAAACCACCTGTTCCGACAACCAAATCTGAACGTTTGGCTTTCAGTAGAAGTCTATACAGTTCCTATGCACCATTCAGTCGAACAGCGCATGAGCGACTGGGATCCAATGGAGCAGTGCACTTTCTGCTTTATCCGCTTGCATTTACCCGCAAGACCGTGAGAAGTAGTCTCCGAATCTGTAGAAACTCGATGAGTGAAGTTTAGAGAATCATCATAATTTATTCGGTTGAGCTTAAGTGAATAACCGCACTTGGGTCCTGTATGTATATTTCACAGACACGTCACATGCTGTTAAACGGAGATACCAGAGTTGTGGTTTGACGGAGAGTGCGGACATTGATATCTCAAATTCATAGTTTTGAGTGCGATTTAATGAAATCAAGGGTGCTGTTCCATGAACTGAAATTGTTATCAAGGGCTATAGATCTGGAATAAATCAAAGGTGCCGTTGGGAATATTCAGCATCCGTCATCTGTAGTGCGAGCGTAAGAAACTGGCGTCTAGTTCTTGGGGCTTGACCGAGGGATGCGAGGAAAGATTAGACGGAAAGGATGTTGAATGTGGATAATGATGTGAGGAAACTGGAGTGCTGATGGAGTTGTGAGGGTACTGATACTAACCGACTGTGCACATCACGAAACAATGTTTCAATTTTAGGTACCTGAAGGAGGAATTGTATTAGTCGTAGTGGTGCGAGGCATGGAGTCTAGATAACTTACCGATGGGAGCAGAAAAGTAGTCAGGAAGCTGGTTGCATTGTTTGGGAAAGTATGACAGACTGAACGTCCTATCGATGGTTATCTTCATCTTAAAAACGACCTCCATTACTTGTGTGGTAATGAATGCACTATCTGTCTGTAATCGGTAGCATGTAAATTAATTCTTGGTTTCATACTTCGCAGACTGTACGAGACACATGAGAAATTGAGTCTCAAGGAACATGTAGGGTTTCGTCCAAGTTGTAGGTGCGTTATTCACGTGTTCATTGTCTACTAGATGCTGGGAAACCACTAATCGTGTTGTAGGCTAACGACCGTTGTATTTCTCGATATGGGAGCTGCCTTAGATTCTTTGGATAGCGCTGTGTTTTGAAACATTCTATAAGAGACAGTTTCCCGGTGAAATTTCTTGAACATCTTGAAAGCTGTACGCATCAACGATTGAATTGAATAATGAATTATTTCCAAGTGAAAAACTTTTCGATATTCTATATGCTCATGATATCGTTCTACCAAGCAGTAGCACAACCTACTTAAATTACACTCAATCAGTTAGCAATCAGTGTCCGTAAGTATAATATTTGCATCACAAAGTGTAATGAACTTTCACGAGACTAGCAAAAGCGTGTGCTTGCAATCATACTTTGCAGTGAAGCATTGGAAATAGTCGAAAGACTTGTTAGCCACATGAGTACTGTTTAAGACCATGATTCTTGAGAATCCCGACCATATATCCAAATTCAGAGCTACATACGCCAATCAGTGTCACCTTCGATACCATCGTGACACAAACTTTGATGTGAAAAGTCGGGTATACAGTGTGTCGATACGGTTCGTTGAGCTGTGTGTCTGTGAAACCTAGTCTCTTCGAGATAAGAATAACTAACTTCCCTGTGTTCCGTCTCATCGTAGTGTTCAAAGGTTAGCTCGCATCCGACAGAAACACCTCGCAAATAATTTGGATTTGATGAAACATGTTTTGGTGTGATGGATATCATCATTTTTTGAACACGATCATCTAGAAACATGCTTCGTGAGGCGACCATCTGTTTCAGTAGCATATTGTTTGTATTTCATCAGTCGTAACCGACTATTTTGTTGTAGGTGACCAGGCAGTAGCATTTCCCCAGGCATAACTGGTTTGTTTGAACATAAACATTTAAATGTTTGTTGAGCTATATAATTTTAACAGTCACTTAGATCATATTGGAGTTTGAATTGTGCAATGCAAACAGTGTTTATCGTCCATCGATATGATCTACAACGTATTTCACGGTACGGTTAAATAAAGAATTTTTCAAAATTTAACTTCATGGAATGGGGTTTGTGAACAGATTGAAGTGTAGTAGTTAAAATTAGGATAGAGGGATAGAAGTAATTAGTATATAGGACTGTCTATTTATCATAAGTTATGAAATATATCGCTTGTTGTTTATAGTTTTATTTGATTTTATCTGTAATTCAGTGTTCTTCAAGTTGAAGATGCTGGAATTGTCTGAAAACTGTGTGCTTCTTTGGTGTAGCTGATAGTTTAGTATAAATGCATATAAGTAATCATTAGAGCGTATTAATTCAAAATGTCGATATTCATGATAATATGAAATTGTTTAAACGTAGGATAATATCATTTTTCTTCTGGAGCAGATCGTCTTTTTATAGTCTAGAAGCGTTGTCAATCCTTCAAGAGAATTAGAGACTTGTGTAACTTTAGATTGTTTACATCCGTTGAATCGCTCCATAAACTTTGATGAATATACATTTGTGTTTATTATTTGGTCTGAGTACTGAGATTATACTTCATATGGGATCGAGAAAGTCTTCACCAGGGATTCATAAATCCAAGTGCTCAGAGCTGGGAGTTCGACTTTACGATGGCAGAAATCGGTTATAGAAGATTTTAAACGGTGTAACTGACTGATTGGATCACTAATATTTTCTGTTTTATCTGACCTATAGATCTAAGCTTTGCCTACGTCTTATGTCTCGATTTCCTCTACCGTGTGAGCAATATATCACCCGTTAGACGTTGGAAATGAATGTTATAAAACGCATCTTTGACAAATTGTTACTCATGGATTTCATAAATGTCTGTAATTTTTCTCTCCAGGGGATAAACGACTTGAACCATTTTGCACAAAAACTGTTGGGTTTGATACGTTACGTGATATTGTTGAGGCTCTTTCACGCCCACTGGATTTTGATGAACGTCAGGGTATGCTGTTTTTCTCATGTTTGTGTAAATTTTTTAATTGATTAAGCTTCTTTTTTTTCAATTCTGTAGTTTGATTGATTTTCAGTTGATATTCATGGGTTGAAGAAGCATTAAAAGCTGGGACTCCGTAGGGGGTGCACAGCGTTGGCATGCGTTGTCATTGAGCCACCAAGTCGAAATCCAATGGGCCTTATTTTCCCAACTTTATTAATTCACGATATGTACTAGCTAGTAAATGCAATTAAAGTAGTTTAGCGGTTAAGCATTAAGATCGAAGTGAATGTTTCGCAGTGTGCGTAAATGGGGGAATTGTATTGAGGTGATCATATAGAAATGAACAAAACACGGTTAGTGCTAGTCTCGAATGAGTGATTGCACACCACTGAACAGGTGCACTGTGGAATGAAATGGTTAATTTAGTTTATGACCGAGGGTATAATACCCTTATATAAGAAATATTTTTATAAGATATTTCAGATGCATTTCCGACTTATTGTTACGCAGCTATTATAGCGTACCGATGTTAGAATTCAAAACCCGCAGCCAAGGACTCTCTTTATTTCTGAGAATCATCTCTTAGTGATTTGAAGAACTTATTTTGGCACAACATAGAGTTTTGAATAACTGTGTATTAGTTCAGGTTGAAAAAAATGACAGTGTAACTCGCAACCAGATAAAGGTTCGTGTACTAGTCTATGGACCATACTACTTGTATTTGTTGATTAGTGATTCTATCTAACTTTGGTAACTGGAGTGGAGTTTCCAATCAACAGTGTAGTTGAAATTTGGATTTCTAAACTAATGATGTATACCCTCAACTTGTCTTTGTTATTGGAATGTGATTGTATATGGGGAATCAGTTTGCTTTAAAGTGATGGTTTTTGGTAAGATTAGTCAGTGTCAAGTGGTGTTGAATGTTTTAGAGTCAAACAAATTTGAAAATCATAAAAATTAAATGGTGATGAGCAATTACTGTCTTCTACAACTATCATTATTACAACTGTTGAGAATTAATGAACTGCACGAGATGTGAATAGCTTATTAACGAAGTGGTTGTGGTGACGGAAGATGGTAGTGTTAACCGTTAGAAACTAGGCGTATAAGACTCATCAGTAGTACACCATCTGTGAATCATGAGGTTGTTATTTTACTAAAGCTAGAACTAGTTGAGTGGATTACTTTCACAGTCGCCTGTCACGTTTAACCGAAACAGTTGTACATAACCTTGGAGTTCCTTATAATGTTTCCTTTGATGTCATTTCTCGATGACGTGAATTGTCTTCAAATAGTTTCTACTCATATGATGATCTGTTTAGTGTATGCTAATATTTTATTTTAAAAACTATATTTCGTCCATCAGATTGCTTTACCCCACTATTTCACTCGTTTGTGATGAAGATATCAGATCTGCGTAAAGGTATGCAAGTGAAAGGTCGTGTAGAGAATGTTACCACATTCGGTGCCTTCTGTGATATCGGCGTTGAGGAAAATGCCTACATCCCCAGACATGCATATCCTCAAAGTTGTCAAATGTCTAAGCAACCTGTAGGTAGTGCTCCGAAAGTGAACAATGGGACCCAGAATATGTTCACCTTACGCTTAGGTGATCGTGTCAAAGCCACAGTCGCCAGTGTCGATGTGAAATATCATCGAATTTCATTGGACAGAGTAACCGTCATATAATATCGTGAGAAATATAAAACAATGGCAGATATGATCTATTTTATTTGTTATTTTTTTTCTCCAGAGCATTTGTAATTATTTTTGTAAGTACTATTTTTGTTACTATTGTAAATGATTAGGTTACACTTATTATTATTTTTACAGTGCATTATTATCTTATTTTCGTTTGTAAAATATAAAAAGGTTACTGGATTTCATGAGGTTTTGACCTTTTTGTTAGTTGTCCATAGCTGTTCCTATCACTTAGTGATCGGATCTGCTTTTGTGTATCATAATTGTCAAAGTTTTCTACCTGAGTTGTTCCTTCCTTTTGGTTGAAGTTGTCGGGAAAGTCGTTTAGTGTTCATGGTATTGACAAGAATAACTACATTGATAGTATGGTCTTTTTTAACGTACTGAAGAAGTTGTCTCTTCGTTTTATACATTAGCATGTCGTTTTTCAGCATCTTAATATTCGTTATCGTTAGTTGGGATGTTTTTGATATACTTGACATTTAAAATTTACATATGGTTGTGTGATTGGTCTCAAGCATTTCACCTTGATTTTGTTAAGTCATTGAATTATTTCAAAATCATTGTGCCGTCAACTGTATTAAAAATGGGAGCTCAGTGTAATTATTTATCTGCCACCTGAATTGCCACGCTTTAAATCAACAAGACAAGAAAGCGAAAAACAGTAGACACTGGATGGGAAATAACAGGAGCAGTCGCGAAAGAGAACGAATAACGTCGGTTATAATGAGATTCGACTGACGATTGGAAAAAGATGCATTTATAACACTGATCCTGGTGCTTGCAAGTTGATTCTGCTCATCTTTGAAACCTTATTGATCTTTGATACTATATGTCTTTTATGTAGGCTGAAATATCTTGTTTGCACCAGAATTAATGTTATCTAGTGGCAGTTAACCTAGTCTTCTGTTTGTTTCCACAAGATCTCATTGATTATCACAAAACTGGTAACATCGAAATTTCTCAGTTAGATGAAGCGATGAACGAAGTTAATCACGTCGTTTTTTGTCAGACTATGAGGATTATCAGTGACCCACCAATTTGGATTTCTGAGGTGAGGAAAGGGGTCTTGAAATTGGCTTTCTGGATTTTGAACATGACAAGATTGCCTTATAATGAATAAGAAGCTAAAAAATGAACCGCATAAAGTAATACGTAAACAGGACGTGGAAAATATGAAAGGTTATACACACGAAAAAGCAGAGTCGATAGAGAGTCAGCTTGAAATGACACGTTCAGAAATCCCTTTGGCATTTTTGCCACTTCTCACGAATCAAGGTCGTGAAGAAATTACAAAATGGTCGTGACTGATCTTGATTACGAGTCGCATCTACCATCACCTCAAACCAATGAGTTAGATGATCTCCAAGATTCCATTCAGGAGGGCGTGAAGCACACACAGATGCTAACCCAATATAACTCGTTTTTGCGCCATGTCACACATTGATCATCTCCGCGCTTTTATCCAGTCTCAGTTTGAAGGCAAGGAAACATTGAACAGTGGAGGGTCTGTTGTGGATACACATGTGGCAGTTGCAGGCCACCGATCCCGCTGATTCAAGATAATCACAATCGATGAATGATGTTCACCTTCATGCTGATGTACATGTTTCTTCATATCAGATTTACTTATATTTCGTTTTCATCGGATGCGGGCTAACCTTTGTAGACAATGGTAATTGAACATGTAGATACCCTTATCTCGAAGAAATCAGGTTTCATGGACGTAAAGTGAAACTAGCTACACCAGCGCGTTGTATACCCCATATTTTAGACCATGACAGCACAATGGGTGACAGATTGACGTTGACTTTCAAAGGTATGTGCACGTTGCATTTTTGATAAAATTATTGTACTTACGGACTCTGATGGCTGAGTGATTGAGTGCAATTTGAGTAGGCTATCTGTTGTCGCACTGTAAAACGATATCACTTGCGTACAAAATATCGAAAAGTCTTTCACCCAGTAACAACTACACAACTTTCATTCTGTGTATGTTTCAGAGATATCTGGATGTTTTTATCGATTGCGAAGTTTAAGAGGAGTGGTCAGGTCGAACAACTCTGAATCCTGTGTTGTTTCTGAGTAACTTAAGGGAATAGTCGTATTTCTTTACTCTACTGTGAGCCTTTTTGTATATGACGCTGATGTTGTTGATGAACTTCTCAAGGAACTGTGTCTGATAAACAAATGTGGAGTACAGGTCTGCCACATGTTTGACGTTGTTCTAGGATTCGGTGGGAACACGATAAATCTATTCCAGATGTGAACGAACCCTAGGTTGCCAGGTTCTTCGTAAGGCTTCGTTTGCCATGTGTGGAGTATTCGATGAATGATGACAGCCGGTATTCTTGACGTAATTACTTGTAGATTGGAACCTTTGTATGCACCACGTAAGATGCTTTTAGGGATGGATGGAAATGATGATGGGTTTATTTTACAGGGATAGAATTCTCACAGTCTGCTGTACGTTTTCAGACAGCCTAGTCAGTACCTTACATTTCCTTAATTATATTTATCATACAGTGTAACAGTATTATTTAATAGTTATGTTTCGATTGGTATTTAATACTCAATCATATCATGGCAATGACAATTTCCTGAAGTAGTTCCTGTCGTTTTGTTTTACATTTTATACTTTGATTGGTTATAAAAGTTTCCACTTATCTGGAGTGGATGTTTCATGATTGATATTTTGGGTGTCTGTTGTCGACTCGATAAACAATAAATACTTCAGTTATCAACATGTCTAACTGAGTTATTTTTAAAAATCGGATATGTGAATATTTTTCACTATCAGTTAAATCAAATAATTGAAACAAGAGAACTGTAAAAGATACACCAGAAAGTTGCATGATCATCTTGATATGGTTATGAGCAGTAGATTCCTCTCGAAAAAGCATCAGTGGATATTACTGTATCATAAACATAGAAACGAACTGTACCGAATGAGTGCCCAAATTTTATTCTGACGTTAGTCAGAACCCTGACCACAGTTTCACCTTCATCCTTAGTAGGAGGCGGAAGTATGTTGCTTGGGCCAGTTGCCTCTTTGCATTTTAGTACTTGGAGTTGCTTCTGAACCTTCGCTTCGTTTGGTAGATCATTGGTAGCTGGTCATGTAGCACGGAAAGCTGAAGTTTTGAAGTAAGCCAGGTAAATTCTTTTCCGGAATGCTCTACACAGTGGTTAAAGTGCGTTTGAGGGATGTCGAGTGTCGTACCATATGTCTTAAAGACCATCTGAATAACATCACTATTCTTGCTGTTGGTGGAATTGGAACAGCTTTGAGCTGCTGTCAGTTTCACATGCTGCTTCCAGCTCACTTTCTTGCACTAGCGAAGTTTGGTTTGTTGCAGAAAGGATTTCAGAATATCATTGTATTCATGGTTCGCTGCAGTTTGATAACTAGCGTCAATAAGTGGTAAAGATGCATGGTTTACTGACAGAGCGTTCATCATCACGTCGAAAGAATGGAAGAAAAAGGTAGCCTTTAGAAATGAAAACAAAGTACTGGAGGTAGACAGTTATATAGTTTCGTGTTATTTGAATGAGTATTCAATGGTTTGGTCATACGTAGATTGAGAACTTGTAGATTAAAACCTTGTATCCATACTTCTCATCATATGCCTCTGCTTTTGTCAGTGAAACCATAAGCTTGTAGAATGAGTCCGAAATATTCGAAGTTTTGCGCATCTCATGTTTGATTTAAGAGTTATTGAGACAGATTGTATTGATGAACTGAATTTCAGTGTGAAAGAGATTCTTTTCGTGGTTAAAATAATTTTGAGTAATATGATGGAAGGAATAAAGTTTTAAAATCCATTGTCTGATCATACCATGGTTTCTGCTTTTAGAAATAGTCTTGAAGTTTGTAAAATCATCCCCTCTCAACATATAGTTTAGAATAACGGTGCAGCTGGCCGGTGGTTGAGTGTTGAGAATTATGCCACCAAATACTTTGGTGTATTGAACTGCATGAAATAAGGAAAACATTGACATTTCAAATGGGTAAGGTGGGTAGTCCTTGGAGAAATCGTTCTTCCATTTAGTGAATCCAGATTATTTACTGTTAATAATGTTTTAAGTTAAATTGAGTGCGACGTTACACTTTTGATTACCGGTTAAAACTATAAAGGGAAACTAGGCAACTATTTGTTGTGTAAGTAATGCTCAGTCTCTATAGATGCACCTCAAACATTCTCAAATTGCCACTCAAGGTGTCCAGCGAGCTTTTGATCTTATCAGTGTGTACACTTAGCTAGACTTTGTTATCTGCTTGCCCTAGATCTACTAAGGATTCTATTGTAAAATGGTGAATCGGTGTAATGCAAAATGAGGAGAGGTATATCGTAAGTAGGTCTTTGACAAAGTTTAGTGAAAATGGAGAGGTGACATCCTTGATGGATGCCAATCGACGAACTACAAGAGATATAATTTCTTTTGTCAGTTATGGGAGCCCAGTTACAAATATTTATCAGTTGTCTGTTCCACTTCAGTGTTCCGTAAATCGATCTCCTGAACGTCCTATCAGCTTTTGTCAATTCTTCATCAACAAAGAAACTGACCTATTTTCAACCTCAAGTGTGAATGTTGAACAGCAGCTACTGAACACCCGCACAGTATTATTCAGATCATAATTATTTTCCCAGATATCTAAATGTCATATACATACCTTTTGCATAGTAGGAAACTATCAGTCGTCGATTTCAAGGGTCAGCTTTCCAAAATAATGGACCATAAATCGGCTTGGTACCAATAGGTAAAGAGGGGTTTCTTATTTGTGCTTATAAATAGTGTCATTGAAGGTAAATCGGACGTTAAACGAGAATGTAAGCAACGGTTGGATAAGGCCGGAGATCGGTATTTTAGAAGTCCAGGTGTTTCCTTTTATGTATCAGCAGAGGAAATAAATAGTCTTAGTAAGCCGAACCTTGGTGAAAAGTGACTCGACTCGTTTATCAGGCACGTTCACATCTGTTGTGTTGTCGACGAGTTCAAAATTAATTTGAAATTTCTCATGACAATTCTAAAGACATTTTGAGGGGGTTGTGGAGATTTGGAAATATTTTAAGTTGTTATTCATCGAAGACTGACATCAGTTGGAGGAACAAAGGAAACCTGGGAGCACTGGACAGCTGTTTCATCCTAGTGTGGGACTCCTCAGCAGTGCGCACCCACGAC